ACAAGACCAGACACAAGACCAAACACAAGACCAAACACAAGACCAGCCACAAGACCAGACACAAGTTCAGACACAAAACCAGTCACAAGACCAGTCACAAGACCAGACACAAGACCAGACACAAGACCAGTCACAAGTAACAGGATGAAGGTCTAAATGGTCTCTACTACAACACTGTATCAGAGTATTTCAATCTAAATTGAGAGTAATTTTTCACTCTAAATCATCTTGTCCCTAGTTGCACTCTTTCGAAATTAGAGAGAACCAACTACGGTATAGCAAATTTGGTTTCTATATGCTCACCTGTACAGACTTTTGTCTATTCAGTTCTGCTTTATTTATCTCAAAGCGAAAATCATCCAATCTGTACGTAGACGTCATTTAAATATCAAACTGACTACATAAATCAATAGCATTTTTTGCAAACCAATGGATTCAAAGAATCTGAGAGCAACACCTAGATGCTACTCTTACCGATTTCGCAATTGTTTCCGCTGTAGCCAGTCGGGCATGTGCAGATGTAAGCTTGGTTATTTGTAATCGTTGCACAGAATCCCCCATTCAGACACGGGTTGTTCAGACAAGGGTTGGTTAAATCTAAGAAAGAGTGAGAAGAAGATATGAGTAAATGTCTTAATTCATTTTGCGACATCACCATTTTCCCCCATTTTCATAAAGGCCAGTTATTTATACACATTCTTTATGCGAACGCAAAGGCAAAGCAAAACTGACGTCATAAAACACTTGCAACAAAATTTAAAGAGGTTGAAGGACATAGAACTTTTGTGAATTCAGAGCACGATTATTTGATCTGACATCTGACATATTTCTGCATTTGTTCTTGCTGCTGAGATGAACCGCCATCAAACCCCAGTAACTTGAAGTGATTTCTAGGCTACACGAAGGGGCCTCAATCTTGCTTCATCTCCATTCTGGCGGCACCTGATTGGAGTCTTCAGTTCCATAAAAACTGTTTTGTTGAAGGAGCACCAAATGGTATGCCGCTGACCAAAACATGGAAGTTACTTTCAGTTCAAATTCAAACATCCAATAATAAAGTCAAAGACAAACACAAATCTGCTTTTTGGAAACCCCCTAGCTCCGTAATAAAGAGTTCCAAAACGTCTTCATTCCACACCCTAGAAATCGTTTAATCCAACAGACCACAGTCTTTTTTCAGAATGCCTGATAAATCTCTGTCATCTCATTGGTTGGTGTGAGGTACATGTCAACAAATTGTGACAGTGCACACACAAAAAATAAATGTCCTGCTTTGGCAGTTAATTAAGCACTGAACCGATGAATGAAAGATTGGATCACTATTTGTACACAAATTCTTATTGTAAGAATGCTAAATAACAACCAATGAGGCAGGTGGGTCCGGAGTAGCCAGTGGGACAGTTACAGATGTAAGATCCCCCAGAGATTGCCTCAAAGCATAAACCGCCATTCTGACATGGATCGCTGGAGCAGGGAGATGATAATGCTGTAAGAAGGAAGGACAACGATAAAACACATCAACAGGAAAAGTTAACATCTTTGGCCAATCTGTCTCATACAAAACAACCGTTTCATGAGGACGCGTATGATGTTCACAAACTTGCTATTAAAATTATTATAAGACATTACAGGTAAAACTCCCGAAGGCTTAGCAAGAAGGAAAAATGCACTAAATAATGCTAATCATGATAATAGGACCTATTTTATCATATAACAAATTTCAGTACCTCTGACTCTTCATGCGCAAATACACCATAATATCCTGCAAATAAACATTCCTAAACCAATCTCAGCTCCCTGAGGAGTATACAACTCGATGCTATCGGTTCAGGCCAAAAACGGCTCATGAAACACGACCGCCATGTCTGCAAAGCCTCAACACGCTCCCACTTATTCTCCAGGGCGGAGACGGGTAGGTGCATGCGAGCACAGTGGCTTGCCCAAGGTGAGGGCCCAACACATCCTAGCTGATGGATTCGAACCCCCGACCAGCAGTTACCAACCCAAACCAGCAAGCCACAATTAGGCATACAATTCCGCCTACTGACAAGGACAAATTGCAATTTCCTAGGGTCAAAGAATGCACAATACCAATCTCATAACAGACGTTTACAGGACTTGTAAGTCAGCGCACCTACCTGGAAGTTCGCAATTGGGACCTCTGTAATTGGCCGTGCAGAAGCAGACATACTGATAGTCAGATCCCACCACACTGGTGAAACAGAAGCCAAAGTTCTGGCAGGGGTTACTTCCGCAAGGATCCGGTGCTGAAAGAAATAAAAGTAGCGACTGTTTAACCACACGGGTCCAGGATTATTTCACAGTGAACTCGCTCCAGGTGTTTTCTGCCCAGAATCCAGACAGTCCACCGCTACAACACAGGCTGAAACACTGGTGTAGACGGTCAACTCCATAGACTTGTTTGTGCACAAAATGACATGAAACTTTGATAGCATCATCCGTTTATGTGACGCTGTAATCACACACGACCAAAATGTGCTAAACAAGCTTTTCCTGAAAGTATCACAGAAAATTACTGGCTTGAAATGTCCTCCACTTGAAATGGGCTACAAAAGCATTTGGAATTGCATAATTGCAAATCGCATTTTTACTGGAAGTTCCCCTAACTTCTGATAATCTAAAAAGACTCTCAACCATAAGAACTCAAACATGGGGAAACACATGAACAATTCTGTTAAACCTATTTTCCCTGGTAGTGTGCTAACAAAAAGCCTGTGAGATATGCAGAAAAATCATTAGTATGAATGAAGAGTGATGAATGAACTCACCAATCTGGCAATTCGAGCCTGACCATCCGCCGGTACAAGCGCAAGCATAGCCGGCCCCCGTGGTGTAACAGAAACCGTTGTTCTGGCAAGGCAAGCTATTGCAAGGATTGGACACTGGGTAGAAGGAAAAACAAGACGGAGAAGAAGTGAGTTTGAAGTTGACAGAGCTATGGGCCCTGAGCAGAAACAAGAGAGGGTGCAAGTTTCCTAGCAACGGAGGCGCCTTTGGTGGGGAAACTGCACTTCGCTGGTTCAAGAATGACTATGACATGCAAATGTTGCAGTGGCATTGTTGCCAACCAAATGAACTTCTCCAATCAAAACGGCTCTTATCAACAGATGAGGGGGTGCTTCTGCTAAAGGCAGATTAATGCCACCAAATGCTGAGTTTACAGCAAGGACTAGACCTTTACTAGTAGCAGACACATAGAAAACCTTATTGCTCTGTATTGAAGCCTGTGTTCATATCAGGGCATTGTGCACCTTTGAGTTTATACAAGGATCCGCATAATGTAATTTGTAAAGTGAAAATCTTGAAAATGTCTGGTTCTTTTTTCAGATCTTGTTTTGAAAGGTAGGCATTTTGGAGCATTTTTGGTATTTTTGCTAGAGCAAATTTGCATATTCATGACCAAAAGAGTGATCTCATAAAGGACAGTCACCTGTTTCATCATCAAAAATTAACACAATTTTATCTTCTTTCTTGAGTTGTCGTTAAACTTCATTACACTATGTTGGTACATAAACATAAAAAACAAAATGAGCAAAATTCGGGTTCTTCAACAAGCTAGAAATTCACATGCACGTGAACTGTACGACACACCGAGGTGGGAAAGTGTGCTGCATTCCCGATACATATTTGAAAATGGAAAAAAGTGAGAATAGTGTTTAGTGAACCATTTCACAGAATCCGTTGTTGTCTGCAGAGTTGGTCCATACCTTCAGTGGCAGTGTTGATGTTTCAGTGTTGAATATGCAGTCTGTTTGCCACTGTGTATTACAGATCACAATGTGTTGTGCGGATACTGCAAAGTAGTAGCTGTTTGATATCGCAGTTTTTCTTCCAATATTGATTTCTGTCTCTGACCATGGATTCAGGCTCCACTGCTTTAATTTCTAGGAGTTCCTCTGCCTGAACATGGTTCTGTTTTTACTGCAGAAACTTCAGACCTGCTTATGCACTGCCGATGCAAGGTAACTTTTTAAAATTCTGTCTCAACTGTGAACATTTCAAGATTGCTGTGGAACCTAGCAGAGGTCAAAGCAGTGAGTCTAAAAACGGCCCAGTATACACTCACTCTCCCAGGATCCAATGTCACCGATCCCTGATCTGATCTGTGACCCAATTTTTCCAACTGCCGTTCAGGATTGCATCAACTTATTATCCGTCACAATATCAGATCTCCGAGAGGCAAAACTTCAACGATGCTTACCTTGCTCGCAGTACGTTCCACTGTAGCCATCCTGACAGAGGCATACGAAGGAATAGATCAGGCCCACAACGCTGGTGAAACACTCGCCGCCGTTCTGACAAGGGTTGCTGGAGCAGGGGGCGGGGACTATGACAGCAAAGGAGGAGGCAGACAAACCAAAAATTAGCCAATTCCGACAACCCATATTTTTTGAGGGAAATGTCCAGTAAACAATCCACTTTGAATGAAATGGAATTTTTAGCTTTGAATCAAGGTCCCATAGAAATCTGAAATCCAAATTCCATGACTTTTGCAGGAATTCCTGGACTAAAATATGAAAAGTTCCATGCCATTTAATGAAAAAGTTGCTATAGTCTTATGAACTAGAGGACTACCATGTCCCTAATACTGTGCTGACTGACAACTGTAAATTGAACATATCCATTGTCACATCAGAAGCAGCCAATCCAAAATAACCCTTGCATGGTCTTAATTTCCATGTCTTTTCCAGGATTTTTTTCCTCTGACAACAGGATTAACACACAAATACTTTTCCCCAATTTTCGCAACTTTTGCATGACATTCTGCAACTTGTTTCAGGAATTTTTTTCAGGATTTCAGTGACTGTAAGACCTCTGTCAATCTTTCCAATGACATTGAGGCCAGTTTAGACAGCACAGAACTAAGTATTAACAAATCCGAACAAAACAACAAAAGTGCACATGAAATTTACTGAAAATGAACATGTGATTAAATTTTGTGAACTTGAAGTGCATATTTTGGTTACCTTAATGCCAAAAATATCAATTTATGGGCATGCACCATGGAAGACATGACGAAGGAAATTCCACATTACTAAATATTTTGTACAGTTTAGTATATGATATACAAGGAATTTGAAAAAACTAGGAAATCGGCAAATTTGACAAAAGCTGCATTCCTGCAGTGTAATGCCAGCTTTTACGTTAGACAAAAGTTTAAAGTTAGATAAGTTTGAACCATAAATTATGCCGTGCAGTCCCAAAGAAGCAGTCTTATCCCTAGTTAATTTTGACCTGAACAGTGCCAAGACTCACAAGTAGACGTGACACCAAGCTTCAGACCAGAAATTCCAGAGACCAGAGTTGACTTACGATCAGTTTTTTCCAATTTGATAGACTTGGCTACGATTCTGCCACTTACTTATCTCGCAGTTTGGCCCTCCATACCCAGTGTGGCAGGAACAGACGTAGGCATAGGCTATGGAAGACTGAAAGCAAGTCCCTCCATTCCTGCAGGGGTAGCTCTGACAAGGGTTGGCAACTGTCAGGGACAAAAAACACTTTGTTCAAAGCAGAGCAAAATGACTGACCTGGGATTCGAACCCATCACCTATGCCTTACCCCTACTAAAAATGGCATATTCAAACCAAGTGATTTTTGAACTGGATTTAATTGAAATGCATTGGGTCCAATTGGTAATCAATTGGTGCTCAATTGGTTTCAGTTGGTATGTTTTCTCTCCAATTTGTTTTCCCCCATCAATTGAAGATTTCAAATGGGATGCGATTGGTTTCAATTGGCATTTGTTTCTTTGCTATTTATTTTTCTCAATCAATTGGAATTTCCAATGGAAGTCAATTGGATCCAATTGGTATGCTTTCTCTGTTTGTTTTCCTGGATCAATTGGAAATTTCAAATGGGACGCAACTGGTTCCAATTGGTTTGCTTTCAGCTTGTTTCCCCCATCAACTGGATTTTTCAAATGGGACTCAATTGGATTGTGAATTGGCATTGGAACGGGTTCAATTGGTTTGAAATGGTCCAACTGAGAAAGGGTCCGAATTTACTATTTAAACCAATTGAACCCAATTGGATTCCAATTGATTCCAAGCAAAAGCAATTGGTTTGGAATTGGTTACTGAATTGGTAAGTGAATTCCATCCAATGGGTAAGTGAATTGGTGTCAATAGGTAAATGAATTGGACATTTTCAGTAGGGACACGCAACGGTGCTCAACCAATAATTTAGTCCAACCATTCTGCATGGTAGCTCTGACATGGGTAAGAAAGGGTCAATTTCTTTCCAGTTGAATAATATAAAGCTAACTGATATGGGATTCGAACCCAACGACTATGTGTGACGGGTACTGGTGCTCTACCAACTGACACATTCAGTCCTGTCCTCGCAAGGGTAGCTCTGAAAAAGGGCGGCGATTATCAGGAACAAAGACATTTGACCGAGATTGGATTCGAACTTGTCACCGTCAAAATGCAGGTATTGATGTTCTACCAACCGCCCAATGTTGGCAGACTTCAAAACTGTAAACATCCTCACTTCAGAGGCACTAATTATAAATTGATTGTCACGACAGCAGTGGTGATTTCATACAGCTCTATAGAGGTTTTTCAGTCACATGATTTTGACGGTCAGCGTTCAATAAACACAGATGTGCGCAGAAACGTATGCGCCTTCAAAGTCTCTCAGCATTCTGGCGTACATGCTGTTGCCAACTAAAAGACAGAGATTCCAAAATGCACGGGCTGCCGCGGACTTGGAATGTTTCCTGAACTGCCTTTGTCCATCAAGTGACGTCACATGAAAAACGTCTGTACAGGAGACACACTAAGTAATTTATGACATATGAAACTGTACTGGGGCCAATTTCACAGAGCTGCTTAAGCACAAATTTGCTTAAGCACAAAAAACCTTCTCAAAAAACAAAGGTTACCAGCTCAAAATCTATGTGATTGTCATGCTAACCAAAAGACAGGTGAATACCATTCCAAACCAATATACATCACATGGAGTTTTGGCTGGTAACCTGATTTGTCAAGCAAGGTTTTTTCAAGCTTACGCAAATTTTGTGCTCGAGCAGCTCTATGAAATTGGCCCCTGGACGTACCTAGTTGGCACTGTGAGCCTTGGTAGCCAGCTGGACATGTGCACTCATATCCATCGTTTGTGTTCAGGCAAATACCGTTGTTCTGACACGGATAGCTCAGGCAAGGTAAAGCAGCTATAACGTAACAGCAAGAACAGTTCCATTTTCAGTGAAGGGAGACCAGAGGATTTCAACTCATCTCAACATCAGTCAAACGGATATTTGCAAGTCCTACATGTACCTCTCCCATGGCAATGAATACGATTTTTCAAAAGGAGCAGAAATTGCAATTGAGGTTCCAGATTATAGAGAGGACAATTGGAGTATTTCACTACTGGGCTAATTTTTGGCTGGACATTTGAAACCAGCAAGACAGTTGGCGAAAAGACATGTGACTGTGATAAGGTCAAGTACTCCTCTGTTATAACACTCACTAATATGAGCTTTGCTTGGGTGGTTGTGGCCCAACGTCCTGTTTCTTCCTGTTTTTGTTTACTTGCAATTATTACTGTATATTTTAGAATTGCAAATAAATGTTAATGATGACGATTACACATGTTAAAACAAAGGCTTTTTGCTCACCAGCAACAGTCAAGCACACATGTGGAAAAAATTGGTAATTTCACAGTTCAAGAAAATAAATAAGAAAATGTGAGTGTCGTACGTACTAAATATCTCGCAGTCCGTGCCAGCATAGTTTGTGGGGCATCTGCAGGTGTACGCCGAGCCACGATTGACACATGTCCCTCCGTTGATGCAAGGTGCACTGAGACACGGATTGGCTAGGGGTTAACAACAAGAGAGTTTGATAGTCTGCAATGCTTAGAGGAAGCTGTTGTACTCTGCACATGTAGCAGGGTCTCTTTACAAAGCATGTGGCATTGCACGGTTAATTTGAGAATACGGCTTATGGATATTGAAGGAGATTTTAAATCAAGACTCACGTAATTCCAGAAATGAGGGGGTCCAAAAGTGTGACATTTTGGTGTCCCTGTTACATCTGATTTTTTATATTTGACATGGAAAAATCACCCGAAATAGATTTCAAACAATTACTATTTGTTTGGCAGGTAATTTACATTAATTCATCACTCTTGGAAATTAGAAAATGTGTTCTGAACTTACAAAATCATATGTTAGATGTAACAGGGACACGAGAAAAATGGACCCTTAATTTCTGGAATTACCCTTATTAAAGTAAGAATGTTTGTTGAAGATAAAATCTGAGCCAAGATATTAAAGGCGCCAGAACAGGTTCTGAGAGTGTTGAATTTGGCACCTGTCCCTAATGGCTGATAACTCCTTCACAATGGTTTCAATTTTAAGCAAACACATCATTCTCAAACAAAAATCAATTTAAAAAAAAACAGCAGTTTCACTTTAAAGGGTCAATTTGACATTAATTTTGGCACACCAACATGGACTTTTCACTAATGCACAGCTTAAAACACTTATGAACCAGCTTTTCCAAAGTTGATCTTGATGAAACTTACAATATTGACAGTTGGTTCCACTGTAGAGTATGGGGCATTCACAGCGGTACCCGTCAAAAGTGTCGTCTTTGATGTAACTACAGATTCCGCCATTTTGACAAGGAGAACTGATGCATGGACTCACTGATGAGAAACAATGAGAACAGGTGATAAATTATCACACTAGGACTGGCAACTTTTGTTGTGAAGCACCTGTGGTCTGTAATTTTTTTGACCAGAATACAAGACTTTTGGAAGAGGTGAGATATATGAAAATGTAAGTATGCAATTCAGCCTTTGGCTGCAAGGTTTTTTGAAGTAATGTCAAACGATCAGCAATAAAAACGCAGTGCATCAATATTCCAACGTGAAGATTTCAGATTTTCCAGTTTTCAGATTTCAAAGTCTTTCTTTGCATGGTAGATTCTTAACTTATGCATTTATACAACTGACTTTAATGCAACTGATAGTGGTTCCAATTTTAACGAATGCAAACGCGTGAAGTAAATTTGGTGTGACAAAAGATTTGTAATGAAGTTAGAACTGCATTAGACTTTTGTGATTTGCAACAAGAATTCTTGCTACATTGACTGAAATAATCAGGGTTGGATTTGCTGTTGCACTGTAGAATAAACTTCACGTTGCCCAGAAAATTTATCATCATATAGACCTTGATTCATCCCTTCAACTCACTGATTTTGTCATTAAACAGTTAATCTTTAAATGGAAACACAACTAGAGCATAAAATCTAAGAAACACACACACAAAAAAGGAATTGGTGCCTCATGGTCCATGTATCCCTCGGGTGTTCAAAACACCATGCTGCACGTCACTCCATTCAACAGTTGCTAATGGCCCCTTGCAATATGAAGGCAAAAAAATGCAGTGAACAACAGGGTGTGCTAGCTATATTGTCCTGCCTAAAGTCTATCCGGCTGTCAGCTACTCACCAATTTCACAGTCAATTCCAGAATAGAACTCTGAACAATTGCACGTGTAGTAGGAGCTGAACGGGTTACAGATCCCACCGTTCACGCAAGGGTTGCTGGAACAGGGCTCATATGTCACTTTAACAGAAAACAAGTACAAAATTTACACTTTATTATGACACAATGTTTGTAGCGATACAATTACCTTGGTTGCATGAACAACCTCATTCCAACAGAACAGTTTTTGCAATGAACCAACTCAGTTTGATGAGCCTTCACACCAATCCGAACTTTGATGGCTCCATAAAAATAGTGGCAGCTATTAAAATTTACAAGGTGTGCAAAAACTCATTTTACATACTCAGCACGGTCTGACGCTTACAACGTACTGAGCATAACCACTTCAAGTTCAATGTGACTGATGTGGAAATAAGGAGGGACTTCCTCTGTTCTAAGGCAGTACATGTAAGTAAGTTCTGGAAAATTCTTCATGTATTTGATTCTGTGATTTAGGGCAATTCAATTATGTGATTCATAAAAAACTTATGAAAATGTTGTGCCATCTTCTGCTGGCCGTTAAAACCAATTCACACCAACTTCTACTCTGTTGCCTCTAAGGCCAGACATCCCTGACGGGCCACTGACTTTATCAAATCCCAGTTTTCAATGGTTTCACAACACCAGGCTGCCGCTTACCAAATCCCTGGCACAGAGGCCCACTCCATCCCGGGGTGCAATCACAAAGGAAGGCCGTGTTGGTATTGATCAGGATACAAGTGGCACCGTTGAAGCAAGGGTCGCTGGCGCAAGGATTGTCAAAACCTGCAAAGGATGAGATGCCACTCACTCAGCAATACTCACTCGGTCAATACACAAAGACCGAGTATCAGTGACTGAAACGGGTTGGCTTTTATGTTTGGAATGTGACTTTGAATGTACATTTGTGGCATTAAGGCAAGTGTCTGCTTTCCAAATATGCAGAAGTTGGACAAGATTGACAAAATTTACCAAGCATGCTTCCCAATGTCAAATTGACTTCGTTACTCACACACTGTTCACAAGAAGAAAAAACAGGCCTAAAAGGTTCAAATACCCAAATGAGTAAATTTACTCAAATGAAATGAGCAATATACCAGAGCGTGCACTTATGCCATTTTCTGAGCATTTACACCAGTGACCAGAAAACTTTTCTTGCATCAGTGATGCTCAAAGAAAACGTGTCCTCTCATATGTGCAATAATCTCATAGTTTCAAACTCATTCATGAAAAATTGCTGAGTTACACACCAAACAAAGACTCACTTATGAAAGGTTAGTCAACAGAGATTCTAACACTCACCAAAGGTGCATTCAGTGCCGGTCCAGCCCGGCCTACAGTCACACTGGTATTCTGCTCCGATCGCATTACACGTCCCACCGTTTTGGCATGGGTTACTGTCACAGGGTACGGCTAACAAAATAAAAGTAACAAGTGCGATGGTTTCTATGCTAGAACAAACATTTGAAAATTCCTGGGCCAATCGAAATGCAAAAAAAAGATTAGTCTTTGATTAAGGCAATGCCAAATTGTTGCCAGCATTCCTACATGCAGAAATTTTCTTCAGGTGGGCTGAGGACACATTTTGCATTTGAGCACATTCCGTCAAAAATTGCTATGGACACAAGTGTTCCCATGTGGCCTTGCAAAATCAGATGAAACTGGGCACTGTGTGAAGTATCATTCATGACTCAAAAGTATGCACTGGATAGGAGTAAGATTTGTCTAATCATTCCCAATCAAAAAGCCATTAAGAAGTATATTCAGGATTTTTAAAATCATGCTACTTTTGATAGGACCGCAAAACGATGAGGACCCCTAATTCATGGCGTATCCATTTCCAAGCTGAGACAAAAACAGCTCTTTTAACAGGCATCAACCAATACACATGATGTCCCATACAGACATTCATCGAATGCTATGGACAATCTGTACACTCAACACGGCGTCTTGACTGGCACTACTCACACAGGTGAAAACTCCCAAGTTCAACTGTGTTCAAAGTTAGGGCATGACTTACGTATTTCGCATTGGTCTCCGATCCAGGGCACCAGACAGGTACAGTTGAAGCCGTTGGGCTCCAGGTGGCATATCCCATCATTCATGCAAGGCTTGTTGTAACAAAAATCCTCTGAACAAAAGAATCAGAAATCAAACTCCCATGAGGATATCAATCCTAAGCAATCAAGAGGAAACTATGAACAGAAATGCACCCAATTTTGAACTTTTTTTCTGACCTTTTAATTTCAAGTGACAAATGCTTTATACAGAGTATATGCAGAATATAGAATGCATACGCAAATGCTGTGAACATTATTTCGCCTGCTATTCAAATTTTTGTGAAACAAAGTTAGTCATATGTGTATTGATTCTGTTTGTTTTCGTTTGCATGGAGTCACAGGTCAAGAAAGAACCGAGTCAAAACTGGTTTTGACTGCTTGTAAACACCCTAGAATTTCTACAAATGTTTGAGCATGTTCTGGAAACTACTCCGTGCCATATCAGATGGTGCCTTTACTAGTCCCCATGCTTGAGTGATTCCAATTGAGTTTGTCCATACAGAGGCTTCAACTAGTCAGTGGAGGTTGAGCATGTGTGGAACCCCCGAGGGGCACTGGGCCACAGCCGGGCATTTTAGCAAATACTACTTGTGACAGTCTCAGAGTTTAAAAGGAGCGATGATGAAATGTCGCCAAAATATTGAAATAAATGACCACCGAGGGTCAGCCTCTCTGAAATTCAACTTTGCAAGGGGCTGTACACGGTGATTCAAAGTTACTATTGTGAATTGGGATGGGTGATTTTGTGAAATGAATTCACATTCATGATCACACTCGCATTTCACATGGTGTGGAAAACAATTTCCCCACTGTGTGAAAAGGCATGAAAATGATTCCCACTGATGGGAAAATCTGTGAAAATCTTTTCCCATTTCAGGAAAAGTGTTTCCACATTTTGTAAAATGAGAATGAATTTCTTTGGAAGAGAAAAAAAGTGTGAAGAGAATTTCCCATTCCAAGGTTGATTGTCAACCACAATGTACTGTATCTTCGACTGTGCCTGGGCCGAACTTGTTGGAGAACAGTACCATCGGCAAGTGGTTAGAAGCCACGTGCCCACGCAAAGACCCTCCAGCGTGGGAATAATTTCATGAAGTGACTGACTGAATGTTCCATTCCACTCGGCTTCTCCCAGTGGTAAACTGTGGAGGGGCCAGTCGCCCTCCCCCCACTTTTTGCAAGGCCTATAAAGGGGCGGGGCTTCGTGGATTAGCCTATCAATGGCTGATGGCTGATGGTCTAACAACTGGCCCCTTCCACTTTGAAAATCGTTCCGCTGCCGATGCTCACAAACGTCAATTCAGTGCATGCATGTGGTTTGTGAATCGCATTTACCTATTTGGCAGTTGTCTCCGATGTAGCCGGCGGCACACTGGCAGATGTACATACTCATTCCCAGCTGGCACGTGGCACCGTTGAGGCAGGGATCACTCACGCAGTAATTCACTGGACGATGGAAGAAACCAAAGCAATCATAATTCACAAAAAAGGAAAAACACACCATGACATAACTGTCTCTTCACAATTTCAAAGTGACTAATAATCAAGTCATCAAAAGGCTTTTAATCTCTGATCATAAGCAACTCAATTTCACTCCAATGCCTAGCTAGTTTTCATATCGACGTACGGACAGGAACAAAGCATCGTCAACACATATGAAATCACTTTATCATTACGCAAGCACAGACGCAAACATTCAGTGAAATTAGATCATGTTTATCTTTGAAAACTACCCTGAGTTGTTAGTAGAGAGCCATGCAAACATCCATGCTGGCTTGACAGGCAAACAACAATGTGTCTTTTACTTTAGCATACCAAATATTTGGCCCTAATTGTCTCCTTGTAATTAAGGGATGAAACCCCACAAAATTGGTGACCATAACTGAAATACAATGTACAGAACTATCACTTTGGCTTCAATAAAGAGTACAACCCTTGAACAAAAAGCCTTTCTTCCCAACATTTTTCAGAATTTTGGACTATGTTTTGTTCTAGGTTTTTTGCCGAATGACGTCTTACACTTTCTCTTCCATGACTGTCTGCATCATAACATCTTGATCTTGGCACGCCCACCCAGTGAACAATGAAAATAGACACTGGCACATTATGGTGAATAAACACAATGCGCTTTGTTTTCAATGTGCGCTTTCCTACAGGGACTCCATGGATCAATCCCACCTCAGTGCCGTAGGCAAGTGCACACGTAAACAGAGCGTGATGACATCATGTTACAGGTCTATGAGCCAGTGAGAATTGGGCCCTTGATTATGAATATGTATGAAGTATGGTAATATTACCAATTTCACAGTGAGTTCCCACATATCCGCTGGGGCAGGTGCAGATGTAGCCATCTTCAAGAAGCTGACAACCTCCGCCGTTCTCACAAGGATCGCTCTTGCAATGATTCACTATTGGAAATGATGAACGGAGATATTTTAGTCTTCTACAAATATCAAAATGCGGAAGGGACACGGCACCCACCAAAGACCAACTCATGTTGTAAAGTGGCAAAGGCGTAACTATAGCAACTTCCGCAGGCGCACTGGAAAGGAACAGACTGAAAGTCACGCATTTTCTCTGATTTGCTCTAAGTTTGTCAATCTTTCATTTGGTCTTTTGGTAAAAAGTGCTAAAATGAAGCAAAACCTGGATAAATAAACCTCTAAAGTCTTTGAGTCAAAAATTAGGAAATCCTGACAATCCTTTTGAAGAAACCAACTTATGCCCACAACTTTTGCTTTTTATTTCATAAACACTGAGGCGAGTGGTCCACAAAAATCTACCGAAAAGAAGTGCACACCGGAGACAGCATTTTAAGTGTGAGATTCAACCGAGTAATGGGCAGTAAAACACAGGACAAGGCAATTTTGTTGGTTACTCACCAATGTCGCAGTTGACTCCAACAAATCCGTTAGCACACTCGCATGAGTAGCTGTCATTGATCAAGGCGCAGGAGCCATTGACGCACGGATTGCTAGCACAGTGATCAACTAAAGAAATACAAAAATGTGACAAAAAAGCTTACTTAGCGGTGACTGGATCTCAATCATTTTGGGAAGGATGTCATGACTAAAGTAGCAGCCATTAAACAAATGTTGAACTTGAGTAAAAAGAAGATTTCTTGTTGTACTCTGAAGCCACTACGAGGTGATTGGCTTTTTGATAGCGACCAACAGTTTTAACTGTTTATAGGCATAAAAAAGATGGAGATTGAAGAGAATTCTAAAAAGAGCATTTCAAAGTTGTAATGGTTTGCTGTAATTAAAGAGACTCATGGTACAATAGTCAAGGCATATTACATATTTGTGGCAGTATGTGAGTTAAAATCTAATGCCATCTTGTATTCTTGGTTATTCCATTTAAATGCAATAGCTTCTTTTTGTCAAAACATAAATACTGGTAAGTCATGTTCGAGCAATATATATAGCAATATAGTGGAATGTTCCATGATTTCCGTCATCTGACTGATGTGAAATGATAGGAAATGATGAAGACAGTGAAGTTTTGCATTCCTGGGCAAAACGTTCTACCACAAGCGTTTTTATCCATCCATGGGTACAAATTTAAAGGTATCTGCCAGGGTAGAGACTGCAGGGTTGGGCTTATTGTGACACAGATCAGAATAGGGTGATGACTGCAAAAAACTTTGACGAGCTAACACTACACACAATCAGGGCACAAGACATAGCAGTCATGTGGTGCTACGCTGCTTATGCGCAGGTCATATATACATTTCAAATGCCCTTCCTTACCAGGGAGTCGGGCCTGTAACTTGCTTAAGTATATGACTGCCACAAGTTTATGAACATGTGACGTGAATTGGCAGATCCATGGGGAGGGGCCACTGGCCTTCCAAAGGGAGAAAATGCTCCTTTCTCAAATACGACAGAAACATGATTTCAGGGACTGTTTCCCTTCATTTCCTTCCTGAAGAGTGTAAATGCCCACCCCCCAGGGTTCCATGAAGAAATTCTATAATTTGTGTTCCCTCCCCCAAAATGTTGCCTTGCTCCGCCCCTCCCCTCAGAAACACTGGCTCAGGATTTGCCTTTGGGTATGTGCTTGACCATAGCTGAACTTCTCTAGAAGGCAAACACTCACTTAGTTGGCAGTTATCGCCCAGGAACCCGTCCACACACTGGCAGTTATAGCCGCTGGATGTCAGCTGACAGGTTCCCCCGTTCAGACAGGGCTGGTCAAAGCAAAAGTCGACTGTTAACAGAAAACAAAAGAGAAACATATCGGTGTAGCTTCGTATCTTTTTTCCTTTGGTAGGTTCACATCCCCAGAGGATTTTTAAGGGGGAATGAAGTCCGAGAATCATTACAGACTGACTTGGTTCCCGTTTCCAATGCCATACAATGGAACAGCAGATATAGACAGTGACCAGTCTAACTGGCTGTAACTACAGGCACTCCATTAAAGTACAAGGAAATTAATGTAAAAACAATTACCCTTTTTCATGGACCCATCAACATTTCAGTAACATATAAAAATTTTTTACGCAATAAAAAACCTGTTTTCATTTCTGTAAATCTTAAATAATTCTACAATATAACACTATGCCAATAATCAGAATAATTCAAAAGTCTTGCCAGCCGGAAAGCTGACACTGGTCATGACATTCTGAGGGCAGAGGGACTTACTTCCATCACAGTTTTTGCCGATGTAAGGATCCACACAGAGACAATTGTAGCCAATGGCATCCGTAAGTAGCTGGCACGTGGCATCATTCTGACAGGGCTGGGCAAAGCAGTGATCAACTACAAGGAAGAAAGTGACATATATTGAAAACAAATCATACAGTTGGAATCAAATAGACCGCATCTAAGATATTTTCATGCTTTTCTTTGTTTATTAGGAAGAAAAAAATTCTCTTATCAGATAAATTCCGGAGGAATATAGAACTAAAGCTGGCAAATAGTATTACAGTTGGTTTGCATTCAGGTCACATCTGAACTTGTTGAATTTAGAACATTTCATCAGATCTCTAAAACTTAGACCTTACATTAAAGTACAGGAAAGGTTTTGTAGTTGAAAAGAATATCTATATTTAGCATTCTACTCTCATAACAGGTGTCACTGAGTGGTTTCCAAAGTTGCTACAAAAATTATTATAAATTCTGGCATTAATTTACATTGAGATATGAGAAGACCAAATGAAGCTGTTGATTTCATATGGAAACTATGAAAGTGGCTCTTGAGCAAGAAATAACCTGCGTACAAAGGAGTAATCAAACTTTGTCTGACATTTCATTTAAATCATTAGTTGACTGCATTGGAACAATCACTGGAGAGCTATGGGGCAGAATTCACGTGAAAGCAAAACGTTGTGCAGGATCCAGTCAACGGGGCTTGCATATTCCCAAAAATTGTTTTGCCAAGAATGTTGGACGATAGTATCCAAAACCACTCTTCTTTAAGGACAATTGTCTGATTAAACCTTTCCAATATCCAACTTACAGAATTCGCAGTGTGTGCCGAAGTAGTCCACTGGGCACGTGCAGTTGTAGCCCTCATTTGGGATGAGGTCGCACACTCCCTGGTTCTGACACGGGTTGCTGCTGCAGAAATCCTCTACAAAAAAGTTACCACATCACATTTGTAAGCAACAAGAGAAGTTGTTGAATAGGAGCGATTTATAATGTGTGTGGTAATGTGCGGCCCACCATTCAAGACCACATGCCAGCACAGATTTAAAATACATAAGACATTGAGTACACACTTGTAGACATCACACACCAGGGTGGACATACCTTAGTTTCTCTCTAATTAAGAAAAATTTGAAAAAACACTTTAATTTCTTACAATACGAGCAGTCCTTTACGCTGGATAAAACAACCTATACCTTGACTGTCCTTTATTTTGGAGTCCCAATCCCAATCCCAAAATGCCTTGGAAAACTTTTCGGAGAGAGGGGAAAATGTTGTGTGGACCTATGCAAGTCCCCACAATGTCCTCATAACCTGAAATGTGAGGACACATTTCGTGCTCAGATCAACAAAAGGAATACCATACTCATCCACACACACACATAACTAGAAACTGGAAACCAGGAGATTTTCTCTAAGACTTGCTGACAACTACTTTAAAATGTGTTTTAAACAGACAAAAGTCCAGACATTTTTACATTACAAACAAAACTAGAAAAGAAAATCTAGGTGCATGCATTACCCTCGCAATTCAGTCCGGAGAACCCGGCTGGACAAGTGCAGGTGTAGGAGTCATTTGTTTGTGAGCACACTCCATTATTCTGACAGGGGTGTGAGGTGCATGGCTCCAGGGCTGATGGGGATGAAGGGGTGGACGGAGTGTGGGATGTGATGGTGGAAGGGGGAGACGGATTTGAAGTGACCATGGAGAAAACACAACAATGGAATCACAGCAAAATGAAAATGAAAAATATACATGAATCTAGTACACTAAAAGTCATCAAATGTTATAATGAAAACTAGCAGACGACACGAACGACACAAAAAAGTGTACTTCTGGAACAGCAAATCAGACACTGACATCAAAGAATGGGGCATTACAAAAGATGAAAATGACACAAACAGTCATAATTTTCCAAACCACACAAACTTTACACTACACATGACTAAGGAGTAATCCATTTTTAGGCACTTTTCAGAAGTGTATAAAGCCCCCAGGATGGGGGGGGGGCGGAAAAGCCTGTGCGCCCTTCTGATAACTTGGAGGAAGGACAATCACCTATCATCCTATTCTTATGTGTGCTTTGGGGGGGGTAGGGGGCCAGACAGAGGAATCTATATGTTTATACGCTTGTGAGAAGGATGACAAAATGAATTACCCCTGGGGAGGAGGAACATTCACAAGTTCACACCCTGGGGCATCAAAATGACACTGTATATGCAGGGAAACGAGTGACAGCACCCTCAATGGGCTGTTGCACATGAGCAGACAGACGTCTTACCGATCTCGCAGAGTGTGCCCAGGAAACCGTCAGCACAGGTGCAGTTGTAGCCCACAAACAGCTCCAAGTTACAGGTGGCCCCGTTCTCGCATGGGTTACTGAAACAGAAATCCTCTGGAGAAAACAATTTCAATAGAAAAGGAATAACAAAGCCCAGATTCAGTTAATATAATACAAAAACAGGTAGAAAAGAACTCGATTGCAATCCTCACACAAAATTGCAGGATTCGAGACTGTTAGGGATTCAAAAAGTTGTTTCAAATTTTTGGTGGAACGTTGTGGGATAAGACGTATGTGGTAAAGTCAAATTTCTGGAAAACATTTTGCAGGCCAAGTATGAATATAATTTTTAAATCAAGACTTGACAACACACTAAAAGTTCTGCTAAAATACTGTCCTGTTTGAAGGGTTCCCACAGGAATCTGAAAAAAATAGTCCCTGAGTTTTGCATGATTTTACAAGACTAAAATATGACAATTTCACTAACACTGAACGCCACTTTGCAAGGAAAAGCTGTTTGGTATTTACTTGAAGATGACCACAATCAATCGTATTGTCTGAAACGGATACAGCCTGTGACTTTAGTCATTATTTGGTAATACCATATCAAAAGTAGCCCATCAAATACAACCCTTGCACTCTTTTGGCCGTGACAGTTTCATGAATTTTTTTTTCTCTGACAGCAGGATTCCAAGACACCAAACTTTTTCCCAATTCTCCATGACTTTTCCATGACTTTCCTGAACAACTGTTTTCCCCAGCATTTTCAGGATTTTCCATTGGACCTTCCGCACCCATTCCGCAGACCAGGTTGGAAAAAAAATTGTAAACTCGAACATTTGACAAATAACATGGATTTCACCACAACCCCCCCTCCCCCCGTTGCTGTTGATAATAGACTTAGTATCTGAAATCCCATTTACAGGCAAACCAAGGTCTCTCGGGCACTGAGCTGACTTTGGCGCTTGAAACAGAAGTAGATTTTTCTACAGAAAGTCAAAACTTGGGCCAAAATTCACCGACAAATCTCACCAATTTCACAGTGTGTGCCCAGATAGCCTTCCAAACAGGTGCAGCTATGGCCACTGGACAAGAGGTTACATGTTGCGTTGTTCTGGCACGGATCACTGAAGCAATAATCAACTGCAGAGGAAAAGCAAAACACAGGATGAACAATAACAGAAAAGATGGCTTAATTAAGCCCTTGACGTTGAGACTTTTTTCTGAAAGCCGACTCTGAGAATTCCAGCCTCGCTTGGCCATGAAGGCCACCTGCCAAACCGCAGATTCTCGGTTTGTGGCCCTGCGTGCTCTGCATGCTTTGATTTACGCAGTGAAAAGGCTCATTGCCATGCGGCTCTACTCACACTTCCACATTCCCGTTGCCTCTTTTCAAAGTCACGAAGGACTATTGTGAAGCTGGTGATTATGATGCAAAATCGGCCTTTTCATTTCTGGTCAACACACAAAGGCCAAATACCATATATACAAGAGCCAGGGACTGTCTTCTTTCACCATGTTCACTCGAGCGTGGGCCGACAATAATAGCCGAAAAGCGGGCTGAGGATCTCAATTTTTACAGCGGCTCTTACCGCTTCCCGGTGAGAAAGGATTAAAATGAATGCTATCAGTAAACTGGATGTTATTCATGTCGTAATGGAGTACTCTTTAAGCGCCAATTTTACAGCCAAATGTGGAACTGGTTTGGCATAGGCAATGATAAATGTAAAGTCAATATCACAAAATATATTTACGATTTAAGATCATAAAAAAAAAATTGCTCTAACAAAAGGTGTGACGATAAAATACTGAAGTTTCAGAAAGTTTCATGACATCAGCTCCAGGTCATTCCTTGCACAAATCCTACACAAAACTTGAGAAACAGTGCTTTGTGACATGGACCAACAGCAGGGATTTTCCTTTTCAAATGCCTAGACTTCACATGAACATTTTTACCTTCAGCACATGTGGTTCCCAGAAATCCTTCAGCGCAGTGACACACGTAGCTGTCCAGCAGGAGTTCACAGGTGGCACCGTTCAGACAAGGGTCACTGAAACAAAAATCAACTGGAGGGACAAGAAGACAGAATATTCATCAGAAACCGTCATGCTACACAGGCAAAATGACATCAGAAATGGATCCAGCACTTACGAGAAAAGGAGGTACTCTTTACAATGATATCTACCTTTTAGAATAGAATAGAAGACATAGAATAGCCAGTTAAGAGCAGAAAAAACGGGGGAATACAATTTTCCTTTATAAAAACAGAAGTTAACAAAAATTGCAACAAAATTATTCATGTTGTTTGGTAGTTCAGAATGAAATTCCAAAAGTCTCCAATGCATTGCTCATCAAACGAAATTAAGGTCAGACATTATAGTGCACATCCAAAGTGAAGAGAAACATAACGATGCTTCATGTCTAATTGTGGAAGACAAAAGATCTCAAATGGACGAGCTGTAGATGAGTCACCAGATGTGGTCATCCAGTCTTAAGTCACCCCAAAAGCTACTGTGAGACCTGAGACTTGCGATTGACACTGTTGATGGACCGTCAGGTTTTACCGAAAAATATATAATGTTTGTAAAATATTGAAAGGATTGACGAAGGTAAGGCCAGCTTTTATTTGGCCCAAGAACTAATAGGAACTTAAAACCGAAGGGCAAAGAATACGCCATTTGGTTCCTGCAATTTAAAGGGGTCGATTTCAGAGAAGATTTCCAAGTGAAAACGCCTGCAGTCATTCCTGGCTATTGAGTATTACAAAGTGGCTCATGCAGAAGAATTATTGCTTGGTACCTTGGGCACAGTTGAAGTCTAGAAAACCTGGCTGACAGGTACAGGTGAAGTTTGCTTCAATGTCGCCCAGAACAACGTCGCATGTCCCTCCATTAGCACAGGGATTACTGAAGCATGGATCCTCTGAGGCAGAAACCACATACATTATTAGAGTAGAGCATCACAAAGGCCAGGCACTAGACTTTTCAAAGCGTAGCCATTGTAATGGGTTTGTATAAAGACTTGTGATTGACACTGATGCTACTTATCCAAAAAGTTGGGAAAAAAAGAGAACCTTTTTACATAAAAAGTTGAACAGTTTTACTTGGCTATGAAAAAAGATTTGGCTTGCTTACTTACCAATAGTTTTGTTTCATATAGAGAAAAACATAACTGTAATATTTTTACAAATTCTGTCCGTTTCATTGATAGGCAGAAATTATTTAACATATCTTACTTGGTACACTGGGAACAATTCAAGTCTACAAAGAGTCAAAAAAGAAATTTTCCAAGAGTCTGGGAGAATGAAATATTTTTGAGACTTTACTTTCTATGAGTATGGATTCAAGACAAACCAAATTAATCTATGTGATGTTCTTTTCAATCAAATATTTTTTTTAAAAGGCTTCCATTCAAAGTTTTCAGCAACAAACCTTAAACAACCTGGTTTTTTTCTTCTCAAATTTCAATGTCAAATTTTGAAGATATACTTGATCCATTGCTATTAACCATACAGAACTAAATGATGTTTTTGTATCAAACAGACGTGACTGGAGAGTGCATGCATACCCTCGCAACTTAATCCAGACCATCCGTGCACACAATCACACACATAAGCCGGCCCATTGTCCTGGCATGTTCCATTGTTCTGACAAGGGGTGGACAAGCATGGACTTTCAGCTGTGAGGGGTGATGAGACGTGAGACATATAATGTGGAGAAACAAGTGCAGACGGAACAAGAGGTGTGAAAACATTTCAGAAAGAATGGATTTTTTACATTACAAATCAGGGTGAGGTTCTCACAAACGCAAGAGATGTACAAGAAAAAAATAAACGAGAAATTAAAAAGGTGGGGAACAAATTCAAATGGTAGGACTGCATGTGAGAGGTTATGACACTGCAAAAAAGGGAACCTGACAAGAAAACAACATCTTATGGGGTGAAGATGGTCGCATCATGTGTTGCTCGTTTAATTTCCAAAACTGCGTGTAGATCACACAGTTTAGGTGAAGATTTATGAAAGAAAAGCTAATGTTTCGGGTACTGTTTGATATGAGAAATTTGAGTATTTTGGAAAAGACGCAAACCTAAAATCCTGATGGAAATCTTTGAGGAATCATTTGAACGTGTCAAGAGTGGAAAAATTTAAGGTTTTTATAATTCATAATTAAGGACAAGTTTGGTTAATGCCAGGATGCCATACTAGTCATGTCATAAATCATTTAATAACAACATCAGAAAATCAGTGTTATTCAGGAAATCCTGGTATAGAGTACTTTGTAGACTAGGATGGCAGAGTAACTGGATACGATTGAAGTTGTATAATGGAAAGGAGGACAGTTTGGTGCATGAAAGAGGTGCATTAGACAAAAACTTTTGTTACCTATTTCGCAGTTTGTGCTCAGCCAACCGTCCGGGCAGGTGCACCCGTACCCAGGGTCTGTGTTTGTGCATGTGGCACCGTTCTGGCAAGGATCGCTTCGACATGCGTCCTCTGACAAAGGAGGCACGGTTGCAAACAAGATAAAATAAAAGTTACAAGTTTTCAAAAGAACCTGGTAACTGCCTGATGACAAAAGCAGAAAGACTGGACTCCATTTCAACAACGATATATTAATTTAAGGTCCACACTAGAGCAAGTGTTAAGCCACATCCAAATGAACTATGACTTACATGTATATTGTTGTGATCAGTAAGCTGCATAGAACAGCCATAGCCATAACCAACAATGCCTACGTGTATACGGAAAACAACCTAACTGGCTGTAATTTGAAATGAAGATAAACACATCAGTTACTGTACATAAACCAAAGCACAGCTCCACATTTTGGACAAGATGCCACGAAACGACTACCTGGCAAAATGGCTGCTATTTCGGGGTTCCTATTGTAAACAACTGTTTTAAAGTTGAACATGAAAGTTACTCTGGTGACTTGTGACTCATTTTGTTAGATTTAGGACTTGTTGCCTTTGGCAATTTGTGTATCGATTCTTGCCTTCCGCATAGGTGTGTTACAAAGTTGACGTGCATTCTCAGACAAAAAATGGATGAACTCAATATTGTACCTCAGTAGAGCTGAGAAACTCAACATTGACTCAGCATTTCACAAAATCTCAAATTCAACATCAGGTGAATGCTTATGCATAGTTAATTAGTTATTGACACAAATTCATGCACTGTAATGCAATCAAATTAAGATGCAAGAAAGGTTTGAAGTTTGACGGTAGGTTACCTATTTCACAGTCGGTGCTTGTCCAGCCAGGAACACAGTTGCAGATGTAATTACTGAGACCGTCTAGAACACATGTGGCATTGTTTTGACAAGGGCTTGGCAAGCAGGGGTCGTCTGTTGGTAGAGTGAGGAATTCATCAATGGGGCTTTGCATGACAACCATATTACAGGACAGTTTTGTTGTTCCACAGGGAAACTTTCTTTGTGCATACCCTGTGGAACAAAGGCACTGGCCTCCAAGATGGCAGCCGTGCAAACCCTGTATTAAACGATTTCAAACATTTGCTCCCACATTTCAAACATTTGGGCTCATGGCAAATCCCTCATTCAATGTGGAATTCCTACAATTGAAGTTTCTTCTTAAGTTGTGTATGGCATGATGTATTTGGCTGCATCATCTAAACTTTTGAACTTCCAAAATAAACAGCACTTTCTACATTCCCCAGTGAGTATTTGAATGGAATAATTGAATCTCGGAAATGGCTTGTTCTTACCAGAATCGCAGACATCTCCAATCCACCCATCTGGGCATGTGCAGTTGAAGTCGGTGTCCCCCTCGTACACGCAAGTGCCACCATTTTGGCATGGATTGACAAAACACAGGTCCTCTGTATTACATCAACGTAAAATTGAAACTTCGCATTTTTGTTTTCTTCTAAAGCTAGTCATAAGTTTCACACGAGACTATTCTGAAGAAAATTGAAAGGAAAAACTGACCCTGAACATCCATTAAAGCTGAGAAGTTTCATGTAATGAGCTATACATGTTACTGCTCGGTACCCAAGAAGCATCGGATTCAGAGCCAAATCTAGTTTCAGCTGTTCAGATGTCACTCACCGATTTCGCAGTTGGTTCCCCGCCATCCCCCAGCACATGTACAATTGTAATCGCTGGTGCCCACCGGGTTGAAGCATGTAGCTCCGTTCATGCAAGGGTCATCCACAATGCAAGGATCGACTGCAAAAGCACAGGGGCAAAGCACGTTACTACAACTGACTAACAAACTTATAGCAATTTTTGAATCCAATTTAAAACAAGCAAGGACATCATATGGCCTTACATGATGCTGCAAAACTGCAGATACGGGATGCAAAATCAAAATATATTCCCCAATTTGTTGGGTTCTTAAAGAGATCTGGTTACTGTAAAAAAAAAACCTGTTGGCACTGTTCTTAGCTTCTCCTGATTGAGTAATCACGAGAAACATGAATTTGCTCACTTTTATGAAACCACTCGATGGACACTTTGATACCACATTCAATGAGTACCACTGCAAGAGTTGCAGGGGTTGTGCACATTCAAATGAAAACTGACACTGAATGACACTGCTATTTGCACAATTGCAAGTATGCAAAATTCTTTTCCTAATTTTTACAAGCAGGGGCCAACTTCACGCGATAAAACCTGTCACCTGTTTAGTGGGTCACTGGTCCGTGTCATGAATTATTTGGTATAACCAGAGGCAGGACCGTTGGTTATACCCACAGATTATATCACAGGTATGCACAGCTGTGAATCTTTAGACACAGAATGAGCACTGCAGGGCACACATAGATGCAGTAGGCAACATCACACGACTACAAAATTTGGGGCAAAACCAATCAAAAAAGGCCGGTAGCATATTGCCTTCTATAATGCTTCTAAACAAAATGAAATTAAATCTATTATCATCAATTAGAAATGTACACGACACACAAGATCGTCTGTTTAAGTAAGAACTAAATAAAACAGAACATGAAAACTTCCGTAGTGTTACAGTCTTCCCTATGTACATTTTTCGAGCTTAAAAACTTTCCAGACAGCAGTTATCCATATTGCTTGCATTGGGTCCATGACAGAAACCTGGATGGTATGCCCTTAGCCAAGTCTTCATGTACTTACTAATTTCACAGTTTTCACCAGAATAGCCATCTTCACAGGAACAGGAGTATCCGTCAACTTCCACGGTGCAATTTCCGCCGTTCTGGCAAGGTGCTGACAGGCACGTGTCAACTGCAGAAAGGAATCCGATTTCAAATGTAAAATGCACCCTACTAAAAAGAAATTCCACAGCAGCACTGCTCTTCTTTCACAACACGGTGACAAAATCAAGCAACCGTTAAAAGGTAGAACCACAAAGTGCAGAGAAAAATATAGCTGATAAGCAAATAAAAAATTCAGTGAATGGATAACTAGAATGAACGTATTCATCTATTCACTACACCAACCTGACCTCCGAAATGTGCCATATGAGGACCATTAAACCCTACATACTATGGGCAGTCAATTACACCAGACCACATTTACAGATAGAACCGCTTGAAAATGCGAGTTCCACAACTTTTTCCAAGTTTCAAGCTTTTGGATTACACCTGCAATTATTTGCCTGCAGTTCAGTCTTTGATAATAATTACTGCAGGTAATTCATTAATTTCAATTTACAGTTTTGGAGTCTCTACCCGATAGGCTTGTTTATTATTTATTACAATCTAGATGTGTTTACTTGGGGGCTGGGGAAATGGACTAAATTCTAAATCTATTTAATACTTTCATTTTAAATCTTTGATAAATTCAATGAATCGTTGCATCGGATCCTTATGTGAGATATGTCCACTGAAAACATTTTTCTTTTCTATTGAGGAACAATCTCAAGACAAATTTGACGCTTCTGCCACCAGATCTACATTTCAATTTACCAATATCACAGTTGGTGCCAATCCAACCCACAGCACACGTGCAGTTGTACAAACCGGTGTCCGGATTGACGCACGTCGCTCCATTCTTGCAAGGAGCTTGGATCAGGCAGGGATCACCCACTGGAGGAGAGAAGGGAGTTCATACACACAAACAAACCATGCAGTGCAAAAACCGCAAAGCCAATGGTGCAAATGCATAAAGCGCATATCCTTGTTACGTATTTGGTTTAGTTTTCATTCCTTTTGTGATCGGTGTACACTTTTGGTCTTTATTCGTGACACATCTGTACCCCAAAAATTGTGTTTTTCAATACTGGGTAAATACACTCTTTAAAAACCCAAGTTGCTTCTGGAGCTCAAATAGGGAACCATTTTTGCCCTATTTTCTTAGTTTTTTAAGTGATTCTCACGCTTCCTTGTTTATCTCACTGCAAATTTATATGTCTCTGAAAGTTTGCATTTAAACTTTGCACTTAATCCCGATAAAAATCAAATGAAGGAGAAAATCACTGCAGCAACTTCAAGCAATCACAGCACACATCCCAAAAGTAACGAGTTTTCAGTCAGTTTTTCACTCTCTCAGAATAGACTGCCTCAAAAACTGAACTTGAACTAATGAACTTTACAAAATGTAAGTTGGCCTGATAAAAATGTCATTATCTTCAAAAATGAACGATGTGGGCCCATGTGTGTTCTTAGTAATGGAGAGCGTACCGATGCTGCAGGTGTCTCCCACCCAGCCTTCCTGACAGGTGCAGATGTACATGGTCGGTTCTCCGGTGCACATCGCTCCGTTCTGGCAGGGACTGCTCAGGCACGGATCCTCTGAAGAAGCGGCATTGAGAGACAACATTCAACAAGAAACAATGTGAAGTCAAAATCGTCTATAATGGGGTTTTCATGAAGTGTCTGCACATAACGTGGTTCAGGTCATGATGATGGTAATGATTGAAGAAATCATGGCTCCGTTTCATAGGGCTGTTAAGCGTGGAACCAATCACTAACCATGTGACGTTTCAGCTACACATTTAATACACTAGCACTAGCTGGTTCATGACCTGATTGGTCCCTAGTGCGCCAAGAAACATGGCATAACAGTTTGCACTCTCTGCAACAAAAGGTGACGGTTTACCGGCTTCACAGTTGGTGCCCACCCATCCGCTGAGGCACAGGCAGTAGTACTCAGTGTCGTTATTGCGGCACACTCCGTTCAAACCACACGGGTTACTCTCACACGGATTGGCTGAAAAGAGGTCAAGGCAAACAGGTGCAGAGAAAACATGCAACAGGTGCAGGCACATGGCATAATGACTCCACTGAGGACTGTACATGTAAAAGGTCAGATGTCAAAGGTTGCAACGGTTTAATTTTTGCATCTAACACTTTGGATCTGCTTAGTAAAACGTACCGGGTAGACAGCAATACAACCATTCCCTGGTTAAAAAATTGATACGGCAAATGCGAAATGTCCAAAATTAGATTCAGTCACAGATTAGGAATTTTGTTTCCGTAATATTTTACTGGCATAGAATTTCTGACACAGCTTTCCTTGAACAAGTTAAAAATCTAACAGAAAAAGCTGTATATCACTTTTAAATATTATTATCAATTGGAGAAACTTAATTGCAGAGGGAACACAACTTTTGGTTATTTGGAAGAATTCTCCTGGGCCAACTTCAAACCTTTATGCACTTTATAAAGCCGTATAATTTAATGTTATAATCTTGGAAAGTGAAATAGAGATTGAAAAACTTACTTAATTTCAGACAAAGATGGGTAACAAATCACATCGAACTATTTGGAACCTTCATGTATGTTATGACGTCTCAACTATTTTCTTTCAGACAGAAAAATTACCAATATCACACTCAGCCCCATTCCAGCCGACGTTACATGAGCATACGTAACCAGTCCCAGTCGTGGTAGGAGTGCAGTCGCCGTTTGAGTTGCAAGGGTTAGCAAGGCAAGCATTCTCTGTGTGTTTGATGTGCAAATGTTAGTTAGGAGAGAGAGAGAGAAATGGTGCATGAAATAGTCACAGGGATTTTTAGTGGCTGCCACACGACAGAAGTACAAAACAGTGGCTGCAAAATACATGTTCATCCGTGTACAACACACAAAGTGTATGAGTGCATTCAAAGTCAGAGATCTTCACACATGCAAACATTACAAATAAAAATGGTATATTAAAGCAATGAAATTCCTGAAAACCAGTCAACGTTGGGATAAGGAATCAGACAGTTTTTTATCTTCAGATATGTAATGAGTGATGCAATAACCGATCCCACTCGGAAAATATGAGGCTTTAGAAATGGTCCATTCCAAACAGAAGTAGAAATTTGGTCACACTAATGCCGACATCACTGCTAATTGCAATCACTGTTAATTGCAATTTCCTAACAAATAGAAGTTTTTCAAATATGAGAAGTGAATGTTTGAAAAAAGAAGTTCAAAGCAATGGTGGGACTTCTTATTTCTAATGCATTTGTTTCAAAGACCTCTTAAGGATTATCTACAAAAGGTCAGTAACTGCTTGGAAATGCCCAAAGGATCTTTATAAAATCAGTTGTTTCTACATGTATATCTTAGAAACAATTTAAAGTTCTAATTTTTTTAGCAGCTTCACTCTTGATATTCTGCTTTTATTTCACTAAAATCTCATTTGTTGCCATGTATGATAAGATCTTTGATTTGCCTCGGTTCGGTATCGCTTGGAATCTTTGAGGGGGGAGATTCTTTGAGGGATGGTCTTACCTACTGAGCAAGTGGTTCCCAACCACTCAGTTGGGCAGTCACATGTAAAGAATGAGGCATCATTGGCGTCGGTGCAGACCCCACCATTCTGGCAGGGGTCACTATTGCAGGGGCCTGGAGGGACAGACGAATATTATGCATTCAAATTTACATATTTATGAGCAAAAGCATGATTTCACCCACAGCAGAAACCTCAATGTCATGGCTATTTCGGCAGTGAGATTTTTCACGAAAAAGTACATTTTGCTCTTGTAAATTGACAATTCACTGTTGTTTTATTCATTTCAGCAAGCCTGCAAGCAAAGCTTTCTCCCAATTACTTTCAAAGAGCAATTCTGGAATCACAATTTGAACAGAACCCCCCCAAAAAATGGACAGCGTCTTCCTGCAATTACGTCACAACAACAGCGCCCTCATTTGTCAGGAAAAGCATGGAAATTTCAAATGCACTTTTCACCAAGTGCAACCAAAGAGGTGCCAGATAGTCTTCCTACATTTGAGAGGAGCAAAAAGTCGCATAAAACAAATCCGCAAGTAAATTTGCATTATGGATCCCTTAACCCAGGGCCCCATGGCAAGTTTGTTAGGAACCTTCCCGAATCCTTCAAAACCCAACTACAGAAGGTACATGTAAGAAACCTGATTTGTGACAACATTTTTTTTCAGCAGGCAAAAAAATGCCGATGAATGACACCTTGTCCATAGGTTGGATTTATTTCAAGATTCCAAAGGGGGGGCATGGATTTTCTCAGGGGGGGTTGGAGGGCATCTGTTCACCCTCCTTCCTTCCCCAAGTATTACGCCACGGGCCTTTAGGTACAACTCTCCCTGCGTACAACTTCTCTGTGATTTCATACATGTTCAAGTTCACCCATCACTGCTGGTGTATCAATTTAGTTAGGATTCTATGGGGCAGCACAGGGTAGCCATCACCTGGTCCTGCCTCCTGCGATACGGCTTAGAATTTTGATCAGAAGAGGCAGCGGTGGAGAGCCGTAACAAGTGTTTGATACTTGTGCATGCCGTAGTCTCACATGGAGGCTACAACATAAACCCCTGCAAATATTTCTTGTAGGGGTTTTCTTGAAGATATACCCCACATACATATTTGCAATGGACACTATGATAAACATGATCGAGCCAAAAGTGCCAAAGTTTTTGTTAAAGAGATATTGAGCCTTTTCATGCAACAGCGTCATCAGAAGGGCGTATCGTTCCTTGAAATATCATTAACTGATTTTTATCGACACCATTAAATCCTACTAAATTCTACAGTATTCGAATATCAACTGGACTTTTGGTTAAGCAATGTATTGCTGTGACAGAATAAAATCACAGCGAACCTGATTTTTAAGTTTGTGAATCTAGCTTTTTTTGCAAGCTAATGGCCTTCAGGATGGTCTTTAGTTCAACACTGGCTTCATATTTATGTGTTTCACATTCTTGTGAAAACCTCAATTGCAAGAATATCGTGATTTGTTTTGCACGAAGAGAGGAAATAAAACGAATTTTCACTGTTCGAAAAAGGCTACTGGCTATTGATTACATAGGATCACTGACTCACAAAATAATCCATCAAACATCAAATTTCCATCACAAAAGCTCACTGGCGTTCCAGTGTTTCCGACCCTGAACAATAAGCAAAATCAAGTTGAGAAAGGAAACATACGTGGTAACTGCCAAAACAGTTGCGAGAACCAGCTATGCAACCGTACCCCGGGAACTTGGTTCCAAAATGGTCGACTAGATAAGTCCAACTGTCCATCGTTTGAGTGACATCAGTCATTGCTAAACTTGCCCAAGGGTAAGCGGTCATTTTTGGGGTTGGACTTACCCTCGGTGCAGACGTCTCCTCGCCATGAGTTGATGCAGCTACACGTGAAAAATGTCTGGAAGTTGTTGCAGATGCCTCCATTTTGGCACGGGGTACTCAGACAAGGGTTACCTGTTAGTAATTGCATTTAATAGCATTTTGTCAGAAATCCTAAATTGGGCGAAACTGTCGAGTTCGGCGGAGCAGCATAACTTAAACGGTGCTGCTGTAGGCCTAATGTTCTAGCGCTCTGTGGTTGTAGCTGCATGTCGTTAAGAAGGATTAAAAGGTAATAGAGAAAATGGAAGATACTCACCAACTTCACAGGTTAAACCGCTCCACTGTGTCGGACAGGCACAGGTAAAGGCTCCTCCAAAATTGGAACAAGTGCCCCCGTTTTTGCAAGGCTCACTGGCACAATTGTCTGCCTGGAATTCTGGGGTTAAAGAGGCAGCCATCGGTCAAAAAGTATGAAAGAGCATTTTCAAATTGTTGTTTCCCAGATGTAAAATATCAAGGAAGATGGCCCTGTTTTCGCTCATCTTAAATGGCTTTGTGTGCGAATTATTTGAAATCAATGAAATCTTCGGCATGATTTCCAACCAACAATTCCCCATAATAAGAAACTTCATCGAGATTGAGTTCTGACGGCGGAGCAACCAAGATTTAAATGCCGCGGCAAGAAGCAAGAATATAATGAACTTTGTTCTCATACACGGTAATTTAATTATATGGCTGCGAAAAAAACTTTAGGCCTACTTCACTTTGCACTTTTTCAGAGAATAGTTTTTATAGATGTGTACAAAAGTCAAACATTGCTGATACCAGTACTTTTGGAATGTCACTGACGTAATTATAGAATATTTGGAGGATCATTTTCTGAAAATGTAGCATTCTCATGGCACACAGATCGCATCACGACTAAAAGATGCAGGGTTGGGGGATTTCAGGCTGAGGAATTTTGCAAGAGGTAGCCCCCTTCCTTGCATGCTCGCCCTCTTCTTTGTCAAAATTCACCGGGTTGCGTCAACCCGAGTCCCCCTCGAAGAAACAGCGCCAAAACAACGTCACAATGATAACAGGCTTTCGTGGATGACCTAAAGTACCACAGTGAAGATGACGTCGACAACTTTAACCACCATAATGGATACAAATCAACACTTTTTTTCATTCGGAGATAAATATCTCCAATTTGTCAAAATAAACTTTCGATCTAAAATGATTAAAGAAATCGACTGCACAATTTAATTTTCAATGGAAACTTGGAAACAAGTCGAATGACGAAAAATCAATCTTACAGGAAAGAAATGAGTTAGTACTCGATTTTCGAGAGTCCAAATTTTAACCTTCTAAATTCCCTACTTAAGTATGACACAGGACAGCTCATTTCAATCTGTTATCCTTGCAGCACATCGAGCTGAAAATGGCGAAATTTGTCATTCCTTGACTGTGTCAAAGTGAAGACTTACCCACGGAACAGTCAATCCCGATCCAGCCGTCGGGACACTCACAGGTATAAAAACCGACCATGGTTTGGCACGTTCCACCATTCAGGCAGGGGAAACTCTCGCAAGGTCCCTCCTCTGGAAAATAATAATTACATTTATAGGTCAGCATTTTGGATATTAGAAATACTTTACTACATCTGAGACAATCTTCAAACAGTTCTAAAGTACATTGTACTCGCGTCCTGATGAAAAAAATTATTAAATGGATTTTACCTCCTATAGCCCAATATTTGGGAAGAAAATGACTTGTATTATGTTTAAAACTGAAACTAAATTTATTTAATTCAAAGAAAATAGTGTTACGCACGCAAAACGCTCGGACATATTAATCATTATGAGATGAAAAACATTTAAAGATGTAATTTTTTTGTCGGACGTTTGCTAAATATGCAATGAATGTTCTTACTGGTAAGATTTGTATATTTTACTAACATCACAGCTACAATAAGGCAGCCGTTAATTACTCGGCCCAAATCTAATATCAAGTTGTATGGGCGAATCGGACAAGCCGTCTCCACACGTATTTCTTGCAAACCTTTCATGTGGCTCACGCACATCACACGCTCCGATAAAGTCTCTGAACACAGATTGCCGTGGAAATTATCCCAAAAAATTACATTTCACAGATTGTCGCCTTTAACAATTCATCACATAGTTAATATTTCACTAAACAGGCTTCCTTATTTTGTTCTGTAGGCTTGATTTATTTACTGGATACCGAGTAAATTTCAATTGCACGATATAACCATAAAATAGCTCCGGGTTTTACTTGTATCACTAAACTAAAATCACATCTTACTCATTAAACTGGATTCTAATGATCAGCGAGAATATGTTAAAAATTCGAGTGGGTTAGAAAAGTATCTGACTCGTTGTTTCAGGAGAAATTTAATTATATGTAAATCCCTGCTAAATTTGCGTTGAGAGCAACTCACCCACTTCACAATTTGTACTGGTCCAGCCGCTGGCACATTGGCATGTGTAATCGCTTATCCCGCTCTGGGGAAAGCACGTTCCACCATTCTGACAGGGGTCACTGGAACATGCAGTTACCTCTTTAAAAATATTTTTAAACATCACCATTAAATAAGTGTACACAGGTTGAATGGTTAACTGTATATGGATACATAATTATATGATGACCGACTGATCAATGTCCAAGATGGACGTTAAGGTGAAATGCAGAATTCGGACATTGTGGTTCTCGGCGCGGGTTAATGTTTGATTCGAAAAACCAATCATTTTAATTTGAAACGCCCTCTGCAGCCGCTGATCAATGGATATCAAGGAAATTTGGTGCACAAAATGCTTTATAATACGTGCATGATACGTGCACCAAAATTCCACATTTGGCCAGGTATAATTGCAGCCCAGGTCCCTGACATGGTGGGTCCACCGCAGACCATAAAACATCACTAATTTTGAGAAAGGCAGTTCAGATTCTGGTAATCTATCATCATTCAATGAAGAATAAAAACAAAACTTTACACTTTGTCTCAAATGTAAGTTGGAAAAATAAGAGACAAACGAACAAATCAGAACCTGAGTTGCCCTTTTAAAATTTTAAATATTATTAACATTTGCGCAATCGATATCAGCTAATGCATCTTCCCCTATCGTTTCAACAACTTNCGGCGTAAGAAAATTTGGTCACAGTTTTACCCCGGAAAGTTTCTCTGTTTTAACCCTTTTTAAACTCGCATCTTCCATTTCCTTACCATCTTCGCAGGTTGTCCCTTCGAATCCATCGGCGCACGTGCAGATGAAGAAGGTAGGAAGGCTGACAAACCCAAGGCATGTGGCGCCGTTCTTGCATGGCCCACTATCGCACGCATCTGAGATGAGAGAACGGGACATAGTTGGTTTGGGTTGCGATGATCAGTTTGGGTTAGCCTTTTGGTCGGTTATGTCCCATCTTTTCAGGTGCAGATCCAAAGGGGGTAGTGGATCAACCACCCTTCCACTGCCACAGGGGCTTGCGTCTAAAGTTTTGAAGTATAACCCATTTGGGGGTCCTTATTCCATTCGTTCGAATGACAACAAATATTAAATGGCTTCACCAACAGCGACAACTACATGTTGTAATCCCGCCCCCAAAACGAACGAACCCCCCCCCGTAAAGCAAAAAAAAAAGGATCCACCATTGATTTCCCTGATGCTGGATTGTTGGCTACACGACGGGTACTTCGTTTATTTCAGCTCGTTTGGATAAGCTGGCGCTTCAGGGGTGGATCCAGGAATTTTCGGGAGGGATCAGACCGAAGATTTGTACGGGTATGTCGTGTTCCTTTTTGTTCTTATTATTCTTTACGAAAGCCCATTAGTGCCATGGCAAGTACATGTTCATAATTCGTTATTAGGCTACGGATTATTAATTCCTTACTTACGGATTATTTATTTCGTTATTACGGATTATTGTATTTCGTTACTACAGATTATTAATTCGTTGCTTACGGATTATTTTATTTCGTTACTACAGATTATTAATTCGTTGCTTACGGATTATTTATTTCGCTATTACGGATTATTTTATTTCGTTATTACGGATTATTAATTGTTATTACTGATTAATAATCCGTTATTACGGATTATTAATTCGTTACTTACGGATTGTATATTTCGTTATTACGGATTATTTTATTTCGTTATTACGGATTATTCATTTGTTATTACGGAATATTTTATTTCGTTATTATGGATTATTAATTCGTTATTACGGATTGTTTATTTGATCTGATACACTTTCAGTAAATGTTATCAATGTGACATTTACTCAATTGACGGGTTTGGAAAGAAAACAATCAATCACACATGTGGAAATGTGCTGGAGGTGCCCTCAACATATGAAAGTTTTGTTGATTAACGACGAGAATTCAACGCAATCTTACAAAGTGGGGTGATGGATGTTAATAAGATTATCAAAGTATATCGTGTAGGACATCGCCGAGAGAAAAGAATGTACACTACTTGTTGCAGTTTTTGTGATCCCAAATCTTTAATTTGGTGGTTTATATTTGTAAAAGAGCATTTATAAATATTGCTTATACAGAGTGGTTGTTGTTAAAAGCAATACTACGTTCACCATTGTTTATCAAGTGTTTACATACCTTTAATCGTAACCTTGATGATCTGACTTGTACAAGTCTCATAAGGAGCAGTTTTATTGTAAATGGCTTCTCAAAATAAAATGAGGGTATGTTTCAAAGATTCCAAATTAGGAAATATGGATTAATGATAACTGTTACTGTATTCAAACGGCATTTGAGGGAAAGAGAAAAGTACTTAGAAATCGACGTATGTACTTTTGGTGATCTTCAAAATGTGCCTAGTATTCAAAGTCTTTCCGAAAAGACACAGATTTCAAAATAGAAATTAAAACTTGTCCCTGTGTTTCAAACTGATGTCAGTGCAAAACAAAGATAGACAAGTCTGTGTTTTTTGTGTATGCAGTGGGTACTAAAAATGTTTGCCAAGTCCGTTCAAACATGGTTCAGGTTTGTTTCCAGTGTCCTGATGTTGGGGTTTAAACTAGATTTCATTTGAAGATTGGGAAAGGTGCTTCCTTTCTGGAAAATAGCGGGTATAGTGTCCAAGGGGGTCTAAGAAAAATACAAGTTTGTTTTGCACATTTGAAATTGCACTGATTTGAACTTGAAGAAAAATCTAGGATTTTCCTCAGTCGTAATTATAATGTGGCAAAATAAATTTACATATTTAAATGTTGCATTCAGAAAGAAAACGTGATGCAAGTTGGATATGCAAACCTCATTGGGAAATACTGATATTCGCTGTAGCATGCAGATTGCCAGAAAGTTCGTACGGGTTAACAAAACCCAAAGCAGAGCGACTGAAGTAGCAATGTGGCTTTGCTACAAACACCAACAATAGGACCAGGAACCAACTGGTAAGCTGTCACGAAGTCAGCGATCCAGAGCTACAGTCTAAAAAGCTGAATCAAAGTTCACAGAAAATGGGGAGACTCAACACGATCGTTTCCATGGCGAGAGCGCAAACAATTAACGTCAGCCTGTTTCTACTGCGCTGTTTTGACTGCTGGTTGAGGTACGTTGGTCCGCTTCGCGCCTAGGAAAGTCTTCCAATCTTTACGGGAACTTTTGGAAGCAAGTCCATTCATCAGTAGACGCGACTGTATTTGAAATCCCATTGTCGAAGTCCCTCACATTCTGTCGGGATTGTCAATTTAATTACTGGTAAATTTTCTGACGAGTGCGTACTTTTTGTGACAACCCAGCGCGTGCGCCAAAAACGTTGGTAAAGAGCTTGTGCACACATGGACCATGCCTGACGCAGATTAAAGCTGCCATGACAGATAACTGTTGAATTGGTGACCATGTCCCCTGTAGTGTCAAACAGCAGGCAGCCGTCAGAGTTTAAATATCTTTTTTGCACGACCAATGTCGTCATGAACTGTCTTATGCCGACACATTTAAACCAAGTTTTTGGGGAGCAAAGGGAAGTTTTTTTATGAAAAGGATGGCCCCATTTTATCGTCCATGAAGAATTCTCACTGCCTCTCATCCGAAAGGTGACTTCACCGTTTTGCACCAGTAAAAAGTCTTTCAAACAATGATTGCTCACACAATCTCTATATGGTATTAACATTTTGAGCCTGAAATATATAGGTTTACACCTATGGACATGTCCGTAACCATTTATATCAGAATGCTTTCCCGTTATTAAAGTTGTCTCACGATCGATAGCATTACAAAATGGTCGTTACAAAAGCAAGATCTCTCGAGCGAACATGGACAATAGACAAGGACAAGAAAATAACAGGACTCGAAATGCTCATTTCCACAGCGAGTCATGTTCGAAGCAAACTTGTCAAGAGCAGCACCTGTGGCAAATAGTTTTAATGTTGCGTTCTCGCGGTGTGCGATATTGTTGTAACCTTTTCGCTAATTGCGTAATTCCAGAAGCACACAAGCTCACGGAGAAGGGGGTTCCTTCGGAGAACCCTGGATCAGCACAGAAGTGGATTGCACGTCAAAATCAGTTTAGCTGTCAAAGTGCCAGGCAGTGAAAGCTTAGCCGCGCTCAGCACGTTACTTGTTCTCGTAAGCACATAAATTTGACGTGAACAATCTTCAGCTTGTGGAAGATTGGTGCAATTTTGTTCGGACTGGATGACTGAAGTCCGGATAGGTCATTTAAACTTCTAATATATAACCAGGGCTTTCGAGAAAGACCGCAAACTCGTGAATGTATCACGACTCTGCGGTTCTATACCACTTACGCAAAGTTGAAGGAAGCATGCTTTCATCATAACGAAACTCACCCGAGTTTAAATTGTGAAATACTTCTAATCATACATAGATATAATTTCTTCTCAGCTTTGTGATTTTATACATAAAGGATTTCTTTAAGACTGTATCTTTTGCAAGGGCGTTTTGGGGCTTTTCGGGGAGCGACGTTTCCAAGCAGATTGATGATTATCGTCGTCTTCCTTCTTTTTTTCCTTTGCCTCCTCCAGTCTTCTTATTTGTGGTCAATCGTATCATTGCGACGCCCAATGATATGATTTACACTAGAAAGGATTCCATATACATATACGGACGCCATTTCGACATTAGGGTTTACTAACACCATAAGCCACGTTGGCCTGCTAGAAACATCAATATATTGATGGACAGCACCTCACAAACTACAGTAAATTGATATCAAGACAGGTGTAAGCTTTCTTAATTACAGCCATTTCTTTAGATGCACCAAACAGGGACAGAGTTTAGCTGGTCTTTTTACGATACTATCCTTTCAAAATATTGGTGTTTCCGTCTATTTCCTTCCTGCACGGTATTTCTAAATATCGTACAAATAGTGTCTCTTAGCTGTCGAACACAAAGTTCATTTTGGGATCTCCATGAAATCACAACTACAGACATGTGATGGCTTTCATCGTGATCGTCACAAATCACGGTCAGATTCACCACCATATCACCATCACATACACGCAGGCCTACCACCTCAACACATTCCCAAATCAGTTGTAGAAATAAACCTTCGCCATTATGGATTCAATCATTTATGTTTTGATGTAAAGCAACAGTTCTTGAGGGGGGGACGTTGATCTTTTTGAAAAGCATCATGGCTTCTTTAAATGTTCTTTTTTTCTACTAAGCTGTCTCAACACAATCTTTTGCTCATAGCATTTAGAGTAAATTTTTGAATGTAATAACGGTCATTATTCTAGTTGCTACATTTATATCATGAACATGTATTTAGAATTCACATGGTTTACCACAAAGCTTAGAGAGTTTGTCAGCATTTGATTTAATATGCAACGTTTCAGTACACCATGATGGATATAATCATGCTACTCTTTACGGATATGACTTGACATGTCCTACTGAAAACGTGTACTTACTCTGCGCTTGACTTCCAACGACTATGAGAACCAACACACCAAACGTATGCATCCAGAACATTTTGACGAATTTCCAGAAGCTCCTCTGGCCTCGACTCTACCTTCCTCGATGAGAATCCAGTGTATATATCATCCCTTAGAGAGCTGTCAAAATTGTATCAGGTAATCCAGAATGTGTACACTCCGCTTTCGAAAATGATTGGTATTTGGAATGCCCCTTTGAACAAGTGAGCCGATTTATGTTTTTTTGAATTGAGTTAACCGGGAGGTCGGCTATTGTTCGTCATCACAATAGTTGCATGGCAAGCGAAGCCAAAGTGCCGTACACGTCGTGCCACCCGACCGTTGAGTCAGCCGTTTACTCGGTAGAGATTTGCATGTGAAAGTGGCTCCACCGTTAGCTGAGCAAACACAATCGAAGGGACTTCTCATGTTGCATTAAACATGCGGCGTCTTGGAGTTATGTCACTCAATTTCCTTGTCATTGTCGTGATGTTGGGCCTGGTCAAAGCGTCAACTCCTTAGTAATCCTTGTTATCAAACAATCTTCCTCAAGGAGTTTAAGCAGACTTTGCCATTTGAGTTTACGGAGTTGCCACTTCCATTTTGAACAAGTTGATCTCTGAATCTTACTCCGAACAATTCCTCAGAATATAGCAACATAAATTCCACTGATTTGGGGTTCATCCTAGATTTATGTTGCCTTGCTATTATTAACAGGTGCCATTTATAAAAATGGAAATCCGAGATTAAAAAAGCCTTAAAAAATTGACTGGAAATTTTCAGCACCAAATAAAATAAAATGAACAAAAAATTAATAAAATGAACACGGTGTGAACGATTCTCATACAATCATTTAAAATCTTGACATGATCATGTATAGGGCAGTCTGAAGTTTGATGTCAGAGAAAGCAACAATGTTACCGCTAAACCGGGAGCAGGGGTAACCAAGTGTTGAAGTTGATTTGTTATAACTATTTAAACAAGGGGTTTTCGATGCACATCCTCCTAGAGTTGTAATGGCTGGAGTCAATGACTCGACTCGAGTCACAATTTTTGGCGACTCGACTCGTCCTGACGGGTAAATGACTCGACTAGAGTCTCTGCGACCAAATGACTCGAATACAAACTTATAAGACTCGAGTCTCAAAACAATTAACAGCAAAATTTTAGTTGGCTAGATAGGGATTGTTACCTTAATTTTTTAGTATGTCTAAATGAAAATAAAAATTCCAAAAATGACTTAAATGTAGTTGTGTTCTTATTGTATTTTGTTCAAACATTTGTGACTCAAATTGACTCGAGCTCGGTACTTGACTCGACTCGACTACACAAAGTGACTCGACTCGACTTTTTGACCTAATGACACAGCTCGAGATCACAATGTCAAAATGACCAAAGTTTGTGACTCGTTAAACACTGCATCCTCCTGAAAGTATGAATATGAAAAGAAATTTGTTTTTCATATGTACAAGTTGTATTTAATTCTTCAATGTATTTAAATATAGATTATGAATGATGCACAGGGTAGAAACGATGTAAACATCGATCATGTCACCGCAGGGCGGTAACAAACATCGTCCCGTTGTGCAGTGACTCAACGACCGTGGGCATGACAGATGACTTAAAGAACTTGGGTGGGTCCAACCTTTCTTTCCGACAAGACGAGACATGGCTGTCGTTTATCGATTAAAAAGGCCTCAACTTCCGTGACTTATGCGTGGTCAACGACGTTTTATACAGTTATCTTCGTGTGAATGGTACATATCAATATCGATAAGTTGAATTGGTAATTGATATGCAGCGACGCTACAAAACACCCAAGGCCGAGTTCCAAACCGTCGACTACATGATTCAAACCATAGAGCTATCCTTCGGTTAAACTATATGTCTAACTAAAGTCATTAGGCCTACTCGAACTAAAAGGACCATCTTCGGTTGTTGTTTTGATTTTTAATGGCGCTTTCAGCCACTCGGACTTTTTGCGCCAGCAACTATACGTTTATTCATAACCTTTATTAATCAGCATCACATTATGGAGTTTGGAAGAAGGTCCAGTTTTAGTTTTAGAGGCAGAAGAAAACCGGATTACCCGGAGAAAACCTGCGAGAGCGAGGATGGACTGGACACCAAAATTATGCACTTAAAGCCTGGGCTAAGCCAGGACTCGAACCCAGGCCTCATTGGTGCTAACCCGTTCCCCCTTCCCTCCATCTTCAGCTGTGTGTAAGTACATTTCCACATCGTTTCGTATTTTCTTTTCTCGAACAGTTACAAATGTACCTCGGTGGGTTTTTCCAAAGAACAGTATAAAGCTCGATCTTTTCGCTGTCGTAGCCGTGAACTCTCTCACGGGTCTCCTGTTCGTTACCACAGCGACTGGCGCACGCTTTCGGACCGACCCTACGGCTCGACACTCAGCTTTTCGTCCACTTTTTCTTATTTTGGAAAAGTTACAGATTTTCAACTCGTTTTGGTAGCACAGTGTGGAAACAAGAAATTTCAGAAAATTTCTTTTTTTTTTCATAAGATTGTTAGAGTTTGAATAGAGGTTTTCCCGGCCAATTTCGGAAAATGTATCAATGAATTAGTGATGGCAGCATGCGTTTACGACCAAAATAGAACGAACATTCTAATCCCCGTTTCTATGTAACAAATAACAACTCTATTTCAAGGAGGATGCCTTCAATCATATAGAGTCAGCGTTCAATTTTCTGATATTGAACTAGTTTTGTATGCTGACATTCATTTTTTGCGCGAAATTGAACGCACCTCGGCAATCCTGCATTCATCTTAATATGAACTCAATCGATTTCGGAAAATTTCCAGGTAATTTCGCGGGAAATGTTATTTAACGTACGCCTGGTCAAGAAGTTACATTCTTAGAAGTGTTTAGTTGATTGGTTAAATGTCTGAATATTCACGATTGAAATAAACCATTTATGTTGTCATTGGAAACCGACTATTGTAGGAAACCTATAACGCCGAGGGAACCTTCCTTAATTCTTGTGCTGCGTTTCAATCGCCAAAACTTAATTTTTATATTTTGGGGAGCAGTTTGGCAACAAACACATTATAAATGAGTAACATGACATTTATGATTAAAATGGTGTGACGATTTGTGTAACCTTGTATATTCTAATCAAATTGAACGTACATTTTGAGATATTAAATGACAGCAAATGAAAATGAATACTCATTTCCGAAGGGTTACGGTAAGAGACAGATTTTCAGCGAATAAGAATGCACATTTGTTGTACTTGGCAAGGAATACGTCAATCCCACGTAGGCCCTATATGTAACCTTTTCAATGAAACGTAATGCACAATCATTGATTTGAAGGATGCAACACGAAGTCGAAGGCTTGTTACTGCGAGAATGAAACCAGGTTCTAAGTCGTTTGCAGGATCTACGCTAAAATGAAATTTTATTTCACAAATTAGATCGTGCATTTTCCAAAATTGGCCTGGAAAACCTACAGTAAATTTTTTCCCACAATGAAACTTTCCTAATTTGTAATTAATATATAGCAGAGATGGAGTTGTTGAAGCAAAAGAATGAACGGCTCGCAGAGTTCTAGTGTGAGGATTCCCCGAAAGAAGAAAACTACAAGATTGTTTTCTTTTTTACTGTGACGTATGAGTGTGAAGGCACGCAAGCATTAATTGAAGAACTTTGTTCAGGTTTTTCGTAATTCCCCAAATTTCTAGGTAGTCACGGGTACAGTGCCTGCATAGAAGTGGCAATCTGCTACATTAAAGCTGATTAAGCTTTGTGACCCAGCAAGTAAGTCAGAAAAAGAGGTGGTAAAAATTGGCATTGATTGCAGAATTATGGAGATCAAGGATCTGGGACTTGAGGCTCCCAACTGGCAGGATTTCCTTCATCAACTTTGAAAAGCCGCAACGGGTGGGCCTATTTGGCGTAAAGTCAGCGGGCTACGTACACCTTCTGACTTGGACTCGGAGATTTGCAAGAATTTTCAGGGTGGTAGGAGTATTATAAAAATGACGTAGTTAATACTGGAAACATGGGCGTTGGTGTGGGTGTATATCCCCCCATTTTTTTGGGGGGGGGGGGTGCGCTATTGAATCATCCCCCACTTGTTTTGTGATGAGCAAAAATATTAAACCGGATTTTGAAGAATTTTTGGGATGCCCAACGACTAAAATGTTTGCAATATGAATAAAAAGGGAAAGCAATTTTAAAAAGCCATAAATGTACCACTCTGATGTAAGATTCTGAATGAATTTGATACACATTATAGACGTACATATTTATCATGAACATCGCCCCCTATAAAGTGTACATGTATATGGTGTCCCCCCCAGCTTTTCAAAATTTCTACGGCCAGGCAAGTCATTCCCCACCTCCATCCCCATTTCCAGCACTGATTTACGCCACTGATTGGAACAGTTACACGGAAAATCGTACGAGAGGTTGTACTGTTCGATTTCCAGCGAAAAAATATTCCACTAGATTACGTTCGAGCAAATATTATTGATGTTGCCACTAACCACCAATTCTGCAGTGCGCCCTCTATATTTCCTACTTGTTTCAGCATGCTACGCGTATGTGAATAGTTCATAGACCCTATATGACCACTTAAAGAAACACGAGCTAGGCAATTTCACCCTTTTTCTAGAATCCGATATTAGCCTTGCCCAACTCCTGAGATCTAGTAAATGGTTTGGGACAATGGCATAAGTTGATACTTTCCTTTGAATTCATCCCTATACTTCATCTGTCTTTCTGACGGGGTCTGTTATTGTAACCGAAATAATGGTCGATTTGTACGGAAATGCAGGCGATTATAATTCGTTAATCGTGTCCTTGTTCTGCGAAGATGACCTTCGCGTTTTAAAAGGGATCGAAAACAATACAATTACCAGGGTAATGCATATTCTCTGTCACCATTCTGTTGGTAATCCATTTCCATACTCCGAGGTGTTAAAACTATGTATATAATTTGTTATTATTTGAAGGATTAGGTATGGCATGACCAAAATGGATCTCCAATTGAAGTAGACACGCAAACAAAACTTTGACGCATAGCAAGACCCCCCTCCCAAAGAAACTCAGTTTTAGCTTAAAGCTTGGAATGTTTCTCTCGAACAGCTGATGACCAGTGTTGTTGTTGCTATTTCATTTTAACACAGCCCATCTAAGGCGTTGCCAAAAATGGTAAAAAAACTGTTTAACAATAAGACTTTAAGGTAAAATAACCAAAGAAACAAGCAGTGCGATTGTCATAATTTACAATTATCTACGGAATAATTAAATTTAAAAACATAACAAACAACAAAAGTAAAGCCGAACCTCAACCCCCAAAATTCTTTTCGACAAGAAAGATGAGCTACTTTGCAAGTTCTCTTTTTTTCTGAAGCCAAAAAGTACCGGATTGACTAAAACATACAAGGTATTAGTCAATTTATTTCTCCTGTGCTGCTTTGGTTATAATATTAACAAGGCATTATGTTCCCGACTGCATCTTTATTAGAAACTCCGCATGGGGTGCTCAGGAGAATGAATCCAAGATCTGGGAAAATTTGTTGTAGCCTTCCCGGAAGCCTGAACGAGGACAATATTCGTCTGCATCTGGTATACTGCGCGTGCAAGACTAATGGACTTCCACCGTGACTGCATTTCCATTCCTTTTTCATTGGCATAGTGCATCTCTCCTGGTGACGGTTACCCCTAGCAACGGGTCACAACATCGAAATACCTAGCACGCGTGCCCTGAATAGCACAATCACGTGGGCTTTTGTCTGCGTCTACATACGTAATGCTGTGTGTACACTTGTTAACGTCGTATCACAGGTGTATTTTGTATCGCACCACGCACCAGTTCAGTGACGGGATCGTAAGGGTCAGGTGTTCGGGCTAAGAAACTGGTTCGTCGTGGAGGCAAGATTCTGGATGAGTTATATTTGCTGAGCCTTAAAAGAAATTGGAGACACATTTCGAGAAGTTTTTTTGGGACAAGTTCTGTGGGTTTTTAGACCGGATCTACCGAGAAGAGAAAATGGGGTGTTCCGGTAGCACGCAGACGAAACAGCAAAGTCCGCAACAACAGCCCAACAATGCACCGCAAAAAGCGGTCCAGGAGCCCGCGGTGGTCCCCCATAAGCAGACCGAGGAGGGGGTGAACGGTGCTACGCTTCCACCAACAGACAACAAACACATAGAAGATCAAACTACAGGTTAGCTTTTAACTCTTTCGAATTCCTTTTCCCTCTAGTTTAAAACTTGTGTTAATTTTGTGTTTATTTGAGGGCTGCCTAGTCCACGACGTTCCCAATCAATTATAAATAATAGGGGGTGGTGACAGCGAAACAGGTGGGGATGGTGGGGCGGGGGAGGATGTGATTGGAATTGATTCTCTAAAGGCCATCACAGTGACTTGGTATTAATGGGAAACGGTGAATGTAGAGAAACTGCATTTTTTGAGAGAGTCAAGAATTGCAAACATATTACCAGTGGGGAGGGATACAACGCGAAAGTTAATGGGAACATAAGATCAAAGCTGAGGGCTTTTCAAAAGTTTGCATTCTGCAGATATTCATTGAGGAAGTGCCTTACATTGGTTGGAAGTGATATGCAGATGTACCTCCAGAATAATGGGTTCTGTTTGAAGGTTTTTTTTATCAAAAGACATTTTGATGACATCTGTCTGTAATGCTGTTGCCAACAACCACGATGCCACAAACTGATCAGTGCAATGTGAAGATGCTTGTCTTTACCAATACATGGAATTTTCAGGCTCAGATCTTTTTCGAGACGGTTTATAAAAAGAACTCAGTGGAGAAAAGCAGTAATTACAAAAGTATTACTGTTCTTAAAAATGTTGTCTTGTATTGTTTGTGTCTTTCAAGTGAAACACCGTGAAAAGTGTAAAAGTAAATTACTCACTGACCTCTCAGACCGTGAAACAAAAAAGTTGGAAAGTTTTTCCTTAAATTTTAACCCCCCAAAATCCCGTACATACATGTACATGTATGCAGTCTGGTAAGTGACTATTTAAATGGCAGCTGAGCTCATCCACCTTTGAAAATATAGACATGTATGTACAAACAGCAGCAATTTATTGACCATTCAAGTAATCCTGAGGTTTAAAGGAGCAGTTTCCTTTTTTGCCTTGAAGGAATGTTCATTTTCTTCGAATTTGGGAAGGATTTGTGTTTTGGGTATGTGGCTACCCATGTTTTATTTCATGGACTGCCTGGTACACCTCTCAAGATGAGCAGTAAGGATATTGTTGGTGATGGGACGATGTTGAACAAGTTTTGCCAGTTTTGTCCACTTTGTTTTCAGTATTGTAACAAAAAAATTGAGTTTGTTAGTCAGACTCAAAGCAATGTACATGTTAAACACAGGTCACTACCCGCAAAATCTACAATTTATTCATGATATGTATCAATCTGATTAGTAAATCAGACAAATTAATCAGACTTTAATCAAAAGTATGCAAAACTGCGGAGATAGAGTCAGACTGAGGCCAGATTACATATCGTCAGTCCCCATGATGGATTTTTTGGCCTAAAACTAGCATTTTCTATAGAATAAATTACCCGGAATTGGTTAATCATGAAGATATCAGCCTCCAGTGTTACAAGACTATGCATGCACAACAGAGGGTGCTGTCAATTAAAATTTATGACTCACTGACTTACAAAACTGGAGTGTGGGTGGATCTTAGTACATGGTATTAATAGACTATATGGCAGTGTTACCTGGTCTGATATGTTAATAACTGTGATGCAGATTTTGGTAGGATTTAGTTTGCTTCAAGAGGGGATTGAAATGGTTTGAATAATTAAGTATGCTGACCATCTGAATTGCCTCTCAGTGGAGTTTTTCAGATAGGGGATTTTACTGGAAGGAGAATTTGGGGATTATAGTAAAGTGTTTGACGATATCACAAGTGCTCATAAAATTGCATGTTTTGGACATGAGGCAGCGACTTATCCTTTGTGTGAAAAATGAATTTTGTAAGGACAGATTAAATAATGCCCAAAGTTGAACACATTTAAATGCAAGTTAGTTTCACTGCAAATATGTCATTAGGGCAAATTTGCTTCGCTTTGCGTTATGCCTGAAGTATGTAATAGCCTTGAACGTGTTACATTTTGTTAATTATTCTCAATAAAAGGGAATTTGCTTTTAAACGGAAGTAGGTCAAACAATTGGCATATCAAAGAGGTTATTAAATATGAACACATCCACTCTCCCCCCCCCAAAAAAGATGCAAATTTTAGGGTTTTCTTCATTGAAAAGAGAGAAGGAAAGGTTTTGAAGATGATATGCTTTATTTCTTTTCTCTTCAAGAACCAGCATCTGACTTCAGAATAGCAATCGCATGAAAACAGCCCTCTAAGATTTGAATGCCTCTCCCTCCTTCCGCCAAAAAATGACGTCCCCCTCCGACAGTTTGGTCCTTAATCCTCCCAGTTACTAAATTGTAAACCGGAAAGTTAAATGGTTCGTAACGATTGAAGGGATCGATGTACTGCAATTGTGTCATTAGTTGTTGTTTTTCTTCAATTAAAACTTGCTCGGTATATGTCAGGTTATTGATGCAGAAATGAACGTGACTTTATTGAAGGAGGAAAAACATAGACATTATGCGTAGGCATTTGGGGTTCATACAAATTGTACATTTGAGTGTTGTGGTGGCTTAGCAAGGTCATTTTGATTTGTGGGTAAGATTAACGGGAAAGAGGGTTATCCTTGGTAACCGACCTTTGTAAAATGAAGTTCAGGGCGGCAACAGTAAAGGGCCAAGAGGCTTTTTGTAAAAAAGCTCTCATGAGGTAAAAGACATAATGGCACCCAGCCCCCATACTATGTTACCTTGAGTTCTCTGCACCTAATTATCTTTTTATAGGCAAGTGCATTAGTGTGCTGAAGTAAACAGATGTACCCGAATTTAAGAAATGGCAGTATCTCATTACAGGGAACATGAGCAATTACAACGTATGTGATCCAGGGACCAGCTGGAACACAGCTTTTCTAGAGATGCTAATTAAGCTGGTACCCGGGCCCTTATTTCACGGGGATTGGCAATGGAGAGAACACAAGGTCAGGATAATGCTGTACATGAAGAGCGGGTAGACTATCGGTTAATGGGTCATACTCGAAATGCGGCAAATCAGCTGAATAGAAGAAAATGAGGCAGTATATGGGGGGGGGCTTTGAGAAATTATTGTTTGGATTGACATTTGTGGGCAGCTGCGTCTGTTTATGATGATGAGAGCAACACAATCCGCTGTTGCGTAATTTGATTGCCAAAAATAGACGCGGTGATGAAATTGAATGCTGTGAAGGATACAGAGGTCTTGAATTCAGAGATTGTTGTAAGTTGACAAGGTCGTCAGATTTTACATCAATGAGATGGGCAAAAAAGGTTCCGATTCAGTGATGAAGGCTTCGTCTCATTATTATTTGGCGATGAAATTTCATTACATGTTTTCTTTTCGACTGACACACAATGTGCGTCCCGTATTTGAAACTGTTGTGAAATTCTGAGGGAAATCTGCTCTTTAACCTTTTAAGCACTTTCTCGTTTTTTTGATGTGCATCTTGTGCGAAAATGAAACAAAATTTCTTGTTTTCTACATATTGATCACTGCAACTAGCATTCGAAATACGAACCCATCATCCACCACAAAACAGTAAAACTAAAAACTGACAGAAAAATTACTGACAAGCTTTCTGTTATGCCCCTTTTACTCACACCCCAAAGTATCTGTGAAGTGGAGTGGGTATTGTATTTTGAAACATATCGGACAAAGTGCTGGCAGAAATTCAATACCCTCAGTGAATTGCACATTAAACAAAGAAGGACAGTTCGATGACGGCAAACATTGGATTGGACACGTATCTCGACCATTGTCTGCCGGCATCCAAGAGCGACCATTTTCTCACTGGCTATGGATGTTTGCTTTTGCTTACTGTATGTCACAAACTCAAAGACACGGCCACACATGGGCCAAGTTGGTTGTGGACGTGATACCTTGCCTTCCAGATCATGCAAGATATCGTGTTTTGGGGAATCAATTTTCTATGTGTCTCTACGGGCAACCGTTTAAAAGTAGACTAGGTATTTATTCTGGGTCCTGTTCTCCTGCAAAAAGTATACAGACAGACAAAGTATAATGCAAACTGACTCCAGTTGGGAGACCGTCTACGTTTGTTTTCTCAAACAACTTTGCGATCAGTGTACTTACACTCCAGCATGGTCTAGGGTTGCTATGTACAGTCATTGATCAGTTGATTACTGGTTGGATGGAAGAACCTTTTTATATAGGAGCGGTGAGATTAAGAGAGATACACGTACCTGCATATTGCCAGGGATACTAAAAACTTCAAGAATTAATGAGTTCAGAAGAATTCTTGAGCATTTTGGTGGGTATCCTATCCTGTCTGTGTACTTCGTATTGAGGGCAACCTGCATCAGGGATAAATTAAGTGTCAGATGGAAATTAAGGAAATTTATGTGAAAAAAATACACATACTGCCCCCCCCAAGAGAGATTCACGATTTTGAAGAAAATATCGATAATAAAATTGTGACAGAACAAAAAATAAGCATTATGTACAAGTAAATCCTCTCAGAAATTCACCTGGTCTTGAAATTGTAATTTCTAATAACCAAAGAAATAGTGGTTTGAGTTGACAAGTTACTAGCTGACCACTTTTGTTGACCAACCGGTGAGGTAACTAGGGCTAAATTTCCGGGGGGGGGGAGGTGCTCCCATAGTTACGCCACTGTGGCCAACTAGTCATCAGTTTTGAAAGTAGCATCCATGTGCAAAAGAGCCGATTAGTAAAGTTACCAATTGACGCAGAACATATCACAACTTAATCTCCTGTAAGTATCATCTAAACCTTAAAGGTCTGAGGATCTTTGTACCACGGTCTCAACATGTTTTCTTCTTTAGAGCGTTGTTTACCCCAAGGCTAACAATTGGCTACCTTATGGCATTTGTTTACTCGTCAAAGGCTAACATGGAGTTTCTTTTACAAGCTCTCCTTGGGCGCTAGGGATCATTCAGGTGTCAACGAGTCTTCTGTATGTATGCTGAGGAAGGGATGAGTGTTGGTTACTCAAAATGGCTGCCTAGCAACGCGGGGTAGGGCATGTTGTGATGATTCAGTGGATCATTGTTCAGTTGTCATTTGAACACTCCTTCATTGACGAA